ACCTAAGTCTTCACTCCACAGTCCGAGATTACGAATATGAAAATGGCCGTCGCTACCACGCCTACCGAAACGGACAATACCCCATGCCAAACGACGAGGAAGAGCAAGACCGTCTAGCATTCATGCACCACCTGTTCAAACTTCTCCTGGGAGGCGCCCTATATCGCGCCCCAATAGAACTAGTCCAAACGCCGCAGCGCATCCTCGACGTCGGCACCGGCACTGGCAACTGGGCGCTCGACATCGCCGAGGACTTTCCTGATGCCGAGATCGTCGGCACTGATCTGAGCCCTATACAGCCTAGTTGGGCGCCCCCGAACTGCACTTTTCTCGTGGATGACGCCGAGAGTGAGTGGGCGTTCAGTCCGAGTGAAGCTTTCGATTATATCCACGTCCGCAGCTTGGGCGGCGGTATCTCCGATTGGAAGCAGTTTCTTAATCAGGCGTACAACAATGTCAAGCCTGGTGGCTGGGTTGAGATCCAGGAATATGAGACGTGGTTGCGCTCTGATGATGGCACTGCTCAGCAGGCGTCGCAGCTTATGGATTGGCAGGATAAGATCGATGAGGCGAGTAAGAAGTTTGGACGGCATATGAACGTTGCTCCTCATCTTGCTCAATGGATGGAGGATGCCAAGTTTATTAATGTGCAAGATGATGTTTACAAGGTATGTGAGAGCCCGTATTACTTAAGTTCGGGTGTTTTACTTTTTCAGAATAGATGTGGCTGACAGAAAAAAGGCCCCTGTGGGTTCATGGCCCAAAAGTCGCCGGTTGAAGGAAATAGGAAGAGTGGGCAAAGTCACCCTGTACGAGGCTGTCGAACCCTATACACTGGCCTTGTTCACCCGGGTGCTAGGCTACACGCCCGAAAAGGCCCGGGAGTATGTGGACAAAGTGCGCGCGGAGCTCCTTGACGGTTCCCACCATATCTACGTACTATACCACTATGTATACGGACAACGGCCGCTGGAAGATGGAACTAATGAACAAAGTATGAATATGGATATATAACGACAACGAGTGACACGCATGTATAAGGAGTATCTTTGTCTATAATTTTTGTTGAATACCCTCAGTGTTAGCCAAAACGATTGGAGTACATAGGAACGTGAACATAGCAGATGAGCTAATAAAGAAAGACAAAATCTGCATCTCATACACTACTAAAAGGTATACCACTATCCCTGAAGAGAGTAACCCACACCCTCACCAGTACCCATAGCCACCAAGTTGGCCCTCATCTTCTCCGCCCGCTCCCCAACCCCAAACGCAGCATCATCGCGGTGGACCCAAGCTCCAACACCATGCTGCAAAACTGCTGTAGCCCGCACCTTCTTATCCGCCTCATTCCCAGACATGCCCTTCAACCCAATACTGCCATGCAGCGTAAGTCTCGTCTCCTCCCCGCCCTCAGGCTTACCGCGATACACTCCACGATGCAGAATATTACTATCATAGAAAACCGCATCACCAGGCTGCAACTCCACAACCAACTGATTCGGCATATCCGGCTCATAAGGATCGGCGTTTCTCTCCGCCTCAGTCCTCACCCGGCGATGCGACCCGGGAACAACAATAAGCGACGCATCAGGGCAAAGCGCCAAATTATACTGCGCATGACTCTGCTTCCCCTGCGGACTCTTCGACTCCAACAACTTGAGCTCCTCCTCCGGCCCCGCCGTCTCGGGAATATCATCGCGATGCCACCGCAGCTTGAAATCCTTCGTCTCCGGCGCAACCAGTAAATTGAATAGCTCCATGACCAGGGCCTCCTCGCCGCCCTCGGTGCGCTTCACGCCGAGGAGCTCCTCCGCGACTGCGAGCACCTTCTCGGAGAAATAGAAGCGCGCGAATTCGGCCCGGCCCGGCATCTCCGGGTGCAGGAGGTGCTGCACGCCCCAGATGCCGCCCTCCGAGGCGGGGGGTGGCGTTGTCGGCCAGGGGGGGAATTGCTTCGGTACAGTGCGGAAGTGTGGCCAGTGGCCTGCTCGGGTCAGGGTGGTGGCTTTTGTGGATACGGCGCGGAACTGGGTGACCTCTTCGGGGGAGAGGAGGGAGCGGACGACGACGAAGCCGTCGCGTTGGAGGGCGTCCAGGTGGGGTGTTGATTGGACTGTCATTTTTTTTCCCTTTTTGTTTTCCTTGTTTAAGTATACTCAAGTAGATGTTATTGTGTTGGTGCGAAGATTATTGGAATTAATTGACGATGGAAGTTGAAGTGGGGAAAGGCAAGAAAAAAAAAACGGTCATGGGAAAAGCTGGAGAAGAATCAAATTTTTATACATGACGATAACAGAACAATAGGTTTGTGTAGTATCTGAACATCCCATACAACTTCATTCTATTACCCAACAATGTCGTATACGGAATACTACGTCGGGAACAAGCCCCATACTACCCAGAATCCATGATCTTCGGGGGGCTCGTTTATATTTCCAGGAAATTCGGTCGTGAACTCGGATCGGATTACCCCGCGGCTGCCCCAACTGATAGAGAAATAAAGCGGGGTTTCTTTGCGTTGTTCGCGAAGTTCCACTCAAAGTTACACTGCGGCCGTGGATGGTTACATACGTGTGTGGTATGATTATGGATGGACCTACCTATTACTTTCTAGTGAGGATTTTCTTTTTCTTTTTTTCGATTATCTTGTTTAATATATAAAAAGTGCCAGGGTTTCCATTGCTCCGGATGATTGCATTCTTAAGCTCCGAGGCTTGTCCAGAGCCTAATCCTGATTGGGTATGGTGTTTTGTAACCCTGGGAAAGAGCAGCGAGTAAAAAAAGGGTAAGAATAATATTAATACAAGCATATCGAAGAAGTATGAGACGTCCCTACAGCACTCGTACGTGTCAAGGAAAAGCTTCGATCAACCCCCCCCCCCCCCGGGCTTTGCTCTATCGTGCCTCATTCAGGTCAAACCGCAGTCAGATGTTTATTCACAATGTCAGACGACACTCCACTAACCTGAGAAATACATAATCGCCGGGGCCATGTCTGCCGTTCAACGAACACCTTTAATAGGCCTGGACACTCGCTTGGCAGATCACTTGTCATCTATGGCTCCGTAACTGCAGGTCTATGAAGATAAGGGAACCCCTTAAGTACCATCTTCTCGAAAGCTTCCACCGACACCCCAATCGTAGCAGCCATGCTAGCTTTGGTCCGCCTGTTAGTTTCATCTCCGGCGTGTCTATTTTTGTAGAACTCCAACGTGCGAACCAATTCCGTCCTGGAGAACACTTCAGAATAATCATTGACTCTCGCATCAGACGACCTGACCACCGCAACATCACGATGAATGTCCCCGTTGAAGCACCGACTCACAAGCAGGTTCCTCGGTGTTTCTGTCTTCTCATACTGCTGGTAAACATGATATGCCAACGATCAACAGGTCTATGGGAGAAGAATTTGCCAGGTTCAAGAATGCCACCCCATCTGGTTCTTTTCTTCAACTCCGTCAGTTCGGCAGACCAAACACCATATGAGTCCAGGGGCATAGGTTCAATTTAGTCTGCATCGGTGGGATTATCTTTCGCCGGATCAATGGGAGCGGTGCGGATGAGGAAACAGTTGTACTTTTTTGCCCCCGTGCACGCATTTATGTGTGTTTTCCAATAATCTTTCTGGCATGCTGAAGAGCAGTATGCTGCTAGTTTGCAACCGGTGCAGCGGTGCGTGCCTGGGTTTTGGCAACTCGTTGAGGAGCAGCTCGGCGTGTCCCCTTGGGTTGTCATTTTGAGGTGTACCAGTCGATTGAGTAGAATAACTTCTACTTGGCTTGAAGGTGCTAATGACTGGATTTTGGGATCGGTGCGTCTCCTATCTGGAGGACACATTTTTTAGGCGGTGAAGAGTTCAAGATCATACAATACAAAGAACAAAGCGAAGTTTGCCATGGCTGAAACCCTAGCGTGAAGCTGTTGTGACGGTTGTTTTACAAATGATTCACATACGCTCAGTCAAACAAAGGGCGACAAGGCCCGGATAACTGTCATGAAAAGAGAATATTTGCATTGCCGAATTAGATAATGTATTAATACATATCGAAGTTTTTGGTGGTTTTTATCTATCCATACCTAGTATACTCTGTAGGCATGTTTTTCGTGAAGGCTTAAGGTCAGGTACAGCGGAAGTACTTAGCCGAGGATCGCTTGGTCAGCGTGCCTCCGATTCAAAATATCGATCCCATGCATATCATTGCCATTATTTGATAATTATGAGTCAATTTCAATCGACCGGGTTCCACTTTCCATCTTCCGAGAACGAAGATCCATGAGCAGTGACCAATATGGGACGTTAGAGATCGTGGACTAAGAAACGTTGATGCTCGCTTGTTTCCATAAATACGCTAATGTATGGTTTGCCGTGATGATATCAGCTGAGCTATGGAGCCCCGTATTCGACTGTATATTTACGGTGTTGGCGAACAGACTACGGATTAGTCGTACAGTACGTAACGTAGTATGGTATGATGGATACAGTGGTTCGGTCTGTAAATTACCCCTCCATTTAACCCCTCCTCAGGGCTCCAAGGCTACTAAGGGTGGTGCCACTCGATTAGCCCCATATACCAAGGAGCTACCGAGAGGAGGTCCTTTTAGAGTGCTTTAGTGCCCCATACTTATCCTTGAGGTTGTCAGCTTGTCACTTACTTCGGAGTATTCTCTTCTACATTAAAAAATACTCGTACCTGCTGTAATACGGACCCGAAAGAGCCCTTAGCGTACAGTACTGAGTACAGAAGCTACTGCACGGATCGTCAGCCTCACAAAGCTCAGCCAGCCTCTAATTCCGGAGTGAACCCTTAATGGTTATCTGATGCTGGTGGCGGGGCTGGCTCTGAAATCATCATGAAAGACTTTGTTGCTCTGCCGTGTCTTGTAGATCAGAACTAGCCAAAAAGAAAAATACCAAGAAATTTTCCTTGTTTAAAGCTGCAAATTATTTTCGTAGAGCGGACCTTACATTTTCTTCTCGTAAAAAAAATTTTTTTTTCCAAAACAATTGGAGAACAAAGACTTCTATTCAGCTGTTTGTGTCTTTTGACTTGCTCCTGTGAGTCTGTGACGCCAAGCGCTTAAAGCTTATCTTTCCCTCTCCTCACATTTTACCCCTCCACGGATATTTTTCCTTAAGATTTCACAACGTCAACTACAGACCCCCAGCCATATTAACGATGGCGTCAGGGATGAATATGGGCTTCAATGCCCTTCTTATTTTATGTCTTGTGCTCGTCGTGCTTCCCTCTCAAGTCCATGCATTTGGTGCTGGCAGTATGTGACCTCGGCTTTGTCGGTTTCCCCAAAATTATGCTCTGTTATCTGACATGATTAGATATTGCTTCGATCTCCACCGTCGAGGGCAAGAACTGGCGCCATGGCGATATTGAAGATATGCTTAAGACTGTTGCCTTCATCAAAGGCCATAAGTGGACTTCCACCATGATCAAGCGCGTCTACTTTGGCAACTGGTTGCGTGATTAGTGGGTCGCACCTCTTACGAAGCTATCTGTTGCACGCGTTAACCCTCTATAGCTCCCAGGCGATGGACGTCGGCACCCTCAAGAGTGTCCAAGCGGACACTATCCGAATCCTTGTCTGGATCCTGTCTTTCATGACTTTCGGTTATGCGACGGCAGAATTTGAGGTCACATCTGACAGGCTCGGAACTTATCGCCCTGAGGAGCATATCGAGTTCGTATATATCTGTCTACGTATATGAAATTGCATATGATTAATATTTCTTCACAAGCAACCCAAAGGACTATGCCGACAACCAAGATGCGCGTCAGTATGATTCTCGGCTGCGTGGCCCGGTGCGTCAAATTGAGCTCGATATCGATCCCGATACCGGCATGAAGAACTATATCGCCAACGAACGAGGTGACTGGTCCACAAGTTCCGGGTATATCAAATACAGCTTGGCTCGCAGTATCCATTACGGAAGGCTGTATAGCAGGAACGGTAACGAGGAAGACCTCTGCGAAGCTTTGCGGTGCCTCGGCCAAGGACTCCATACTCTTGAGGACTTTGCAGCACACACGAACTACTGCGAACTCGCGCTTCGTGAGATGGGCTTTCGTAATGTATTTCCACACACCGGCAAGCGGACTGAGATGAAAGTTCGGGGTCACCGTGTCTACCCTCTCGTAACAGGAACATTCGGTATGGTTGATTTCTTCCATTCCATGCTTGGAGAAGCGACCGATCACTTCACCCAGTCAGAAGTCAATGAAATGGATATTGCTCTGGGAGATGCACAGTCAAATACATCTTCCGGCTCTGCTAGCGCGTTGACAGCACTGCTCGGCAAGGTCCCAGGTACGAGGGATCTTGTTAACGAAGCTGAGGAGCTCAGGCGTCGCTCAGACGAGCAAGAATCGAGAAACAAGAGCGGCGGTCATCGTTCAAGCTATTCAACTCGTGGATCTACTCGATCCCGTGACGACTTCGACTCAGGCAGCAGCCGAGGCTTCGGCGGCGAACAAAGCAGGTCTGCCAGAGCTGATGATTCTAATCAAGGTTCTTCGGGCGGACTGCCTGACTTCGATGCAAGCCAGACCATTGATCAGATATATCCTATCCTGCAGTTCAGAGATAATGTCGTGCGGAAGCTCTCATCCATCATTGAGAATATCCCCGGTCTGGAAACACTGGTCGAGACGATCACTGAAACTTTGACCGTTTTCGTCATGTCTCTATTGGCGCCCTTCGTTCGTCCTATCATCAACGCCGCCTCCAAGCAGCTCCAGGCTGGCTCCTCTAGCGTCATTGATGCTTCTGGCCAACACCAGTATGAACCATGGACTGACCCTCACTGCACCGACCCTACCCACTCCTTGCTGTCCAAGGATCACTTCTCCAACATTCTCAACGAGCCAGCTGGTCAAGTCGCTTCTGCCATTCTAAAATATGTCGCGCCTCGCGTCCTGTACGCTTGGGAAAACACCAACATCTCTGAGCGGCAGGTTGTGGAGGATTGCCTCAAAGTATTCCATCATCCCGCTCTGAGGGATATGCGCAATGAAGCACATCGGACCATGTACGAAGCAGTTGAATCTTGGGTGCAATCGAGGCCGGATCGTGGCTCTGAACTAGACGATATCCTCAGTGCCGAGGGGGTGAAGGCAGGAAAGAACCAAACAGGAGAGGGTGGCCACTCCCATGGGCACGGCCATAGTCACAGCCATGCAGCTCAGAAGCCTCATAGTCAGTCAGGACAGTCACAGTACCGCCCACCCCAACAGCAGGAGCAACAAAACCTGTCTTCCCCCTTCGACCAACTTTCCAGCCTTCCCATTCCCGGTATATCTAAGCTTAGCAGCGCTTTCTCTAGCTTTGGACTGGGTGGCTCCTCGAGGAGTGACGAGACTTCGCAGCAGACTACACCTCCACCTGAGCCTCAGTATCAACAGCACCATCAGTCTTACCATGAAGTATCTCATCAACGCCAAGACTATGAATCTCGCCACCAAGGCTACCAGTCGCATTACTCCGGGGGCGATTATAGCAGCCATAAGAGTCACCAACACGGTAATGGAGGTGGAAAAAGTGCAGACTACTACAATGAATCATCGTCCAGCCATGGATACGGTGATTATTCTGAATCTCAAGGACACAGCCAACGTCGCCATCACAACAGTCATCAGAGTCATGGCGATGACCAAGGTTATAACTCTAGATATAACCTAAGATCCAGGGAAAGCCACAGACCAGACTACAGAGAAGGGTATGGCTCTGAATATGACCAAGGCTCTGAACAAGGCTACGGACAAGGATATGGCGGTGGGTATGGCTCCAGTGGATCCCGTTGGTGATTCTGAATCATGAAGAAAATGCTCTGTATTACTTCTCTTGTAGTATTTGGGGTTAGTGGGTGTTGGAGTAGGGGTAAGTAGTTTACCGGCTAAGTGGAAAGGCATGTGGCGGTCAGCTTTGTGATTGAATCAGCGCAGTTAGTAGCAGGCTCAGATGTAGGTTCACGAGAATGCACAAGTTGATTTTGTCTATTCGAAAATTAAGTATAATTTATACTCTTATCTCATATACCGGGTAATTAGAATCCAATTAATAACACAGAGCTCCTGTCTCTTTATGTGTCCTCTCAGAACTGACCTCATTGTTGTTCTGGAATCGGTGTGAGTAGTTTGCCATTGCTCAGGGCAATCTCTATGTTCCGCAAAGTCAATAACTCCATCTCACGCTAAGTCTCACTTGTCGTCGTTCCAATATGAGGTAGAATTATAACTCTACTCTTGTGTAATAGACCCGGGTGGATAATTGGCTCGTTTTCAAAAACATCCAATCTAGCAGACGTTACCTTGCCGGTTTGCAACGCTTCTACTAAGGCTGCTTCATCAAGTAATGAGCCCCTTGCTGTATTGATAATGACCATGTCATCTTTCATTTTCTTGAACTCGGCTTTTGAGATGATATGTCGAGTTTTCTCTATGGCCGGTAAATTAACGCTGATGATATCTGAATATCGCAGAAGTTCATCGAACGTCACATATTCGACATCTCCTGATTTTGACTCAGTCCAATGTACTGCTGAAGACTGAGAAGGAGCAAATATCCCTACCTTCCTTATCCATAGGGAACTTGGAACGATTATGATGGATGATTTTCAAGCCGAATGCACGAGCCCGATGAACAATAGCCTACAATCAGTTAAGCCAGATGCAACAACATGTACCTGGTCAGAACACCCACCTGTCCAATAGCACCCATCCCCAGAATTCCAAGTATCTTGCCCCCAGGGCCACGGTCTAGAGGTGTATCGCCTTTAAATTGTCCTTTCCTAATAGATACCAGAGGCATCATAGCCTGGCGCAACGCGCCCAACATCAAGAACATGGCCACATCGGCCGTGGCATCCGCAGCAACATTTGGGGTATTAGAAATCTGTATACCCCTTACAGTGCAAGCTTTTATATCTATCCCGTCGTATCCCGCGCCATTGAGACAGATAAACCTCAATGTTGGCGGCAGGGCGTGAATAAGCTCCTTGTCGAATGGCCCAGTTTCGAGAGTTGAATTCGTTCGGTAAAGTGCTGCCACCCCATCCCATGTTCTGGACTGACAGTTCTGTAAGAATTGCTGTCGGTTGCCTGTGAACTAATATGTTTTGTATTTGGAGTTCGGAACATTCATTCGTGCAATTATGGAGTTTGCAGATCAGGAGTACACTTGGTTTTGGTCGAATTGATGTTTCTATGTTTCTGGTGATGGTTGCCATATTGTTCTCTGTGCTTTGCTTTCTGGGGTATGGTTCTGTATGCGGTCAAAGACGAGTGTTAGGCATATTTACTGGAGTGCAAATACTAGCTCTCATTGCTAATAGCATGGCGTTATTTAATAAATGGTGTTTGGCCGAGAGGTCGGCGAAAGTTGCCGGGGCCGAGGCCACCATCCCTGCAGTGCCCTGAAGCTATGGCTGAGTATAGCGATAGCAGCCTGAATAAAGAGAACCTCAATAATGAAATTATGTAGGTCTACCATTTGGTACATTCTTATTTCTGGGCGTTTTGCCGAAACAACATTGTAGTCTATCATAAGAAACTTTATGGCTCTGCCTACGCCAATCATCCATACAGGATCAAAATACAGCAGCATGTATGGCCTTTCATAGGGCTAAAATCGGGCCGGGCCGCTACAAACAAAGCAGGCCCTTGTGTTAGAATAAGTTATCGTATAGAATGGTCTATAAATATAGTAAATAACTCTCCCGTGTTTCAGTTACTTTCGATACACTGGCATCCTGCATTCTCATTTGGGCTGTACCCTTGCTGATGCACGTCAGCCACAGCCGTGCGACTACGATTGTGATGATAAAAATACAGCCCAATAAGAAAGCTTCTAGGAATCTTGATAAGTCTGTATTCGGTTCAATGCATAATTGCATTGTACAAAGTATGGCTCGCGTGGGTCGCATAATCACCGGCCGTCACGGGCTCCTTCCTATTATTGATGCGGCGCAGTGACTTTGCATGAAAACCCCCCGGGTACATTTTAGCGCCCTCAGCATTCCTGGCCTTCATTTCCAAACACACCATTGACCATTCCCCTGGACTGCTCGAGGGCTCTTAGCAAGCCAGAGCTTATCATCTCTAACCGCAATTGTTTCAGAAGGCAAGGCTGTGACCTACATTCTGGAAAGATGGCCATTCCTCGAATCGGCATCTGTTACAACTACCATACATGGTGCAAGACTCCTAATATGACGAGGCCTCTAACACACCACTAGAATAAATGCTAAAGTAGCGCTTGACAAGGGTAACGAGGCTATGTTGCCTTTCGCAATCCACTTAGTGGTGCGGGGAATCCCCCAGACAAGGCACCCTCGTGGTTATTTAAGATCCCATACAGTCTCATATATTCTGCTTCCATCTTCTGTACATGCTACATAACACTGATAACTGCAATAAAAAAGCAAAGGTTGATAGTCATTGTCCCAATGCCATCGCCTTATATTTTCAAGGGGTCTTCCCCCCAAGCATCCAATCTTTCTACCCAAGACTTCAACTTCAGTGTCATTATACCTTCCGTGGAAGTCGCGGACGAAGACCCTCCTTCATCAATAGGGGGTGAACCAACGCCTTCTGCATCCGACTCCGAAGACTCCAGTCACCGCGCTTACACTCCAAGCCAGAGCACGGCAACTCCTCGTCACCGTGAAAGTCTAAGCTTGGGTGTCACGGAGCCTTTGCAAGCGTTAAATCTCCAAGGAACTCCTATATCGCATTGGACACCCTCATGGAGGCATGATTCCCGGCGACAGAGTACTGGTTTGTCCCCAGGCAGGTCCACATCCACGTACGGGCGCTTGTTCAATGCGACGCCTGAGCCCACACCAGAGCCGTCACGGATACAGCCTACCTTGAATCGCGACTCAGCAGTTGACGGCTTAGCGGGTGATTTAGAGGATTCTCATCTGCATTATGGAGGGCCTCCAAGCGATGACGGCGACCAATTGAGCGAGGGCGACGACGAGGACGGCGACGACGCAACAGACAGTGACGACTCTTCCTTATACAATGTGCGATGCGAACGCTTGCCTCATGCCCCTATATACAATGCTGGCTTACAGGAAATCCTGCGAGATATCAAAAGCCAGTTATCAGTCCTCCAAAATGATATAGACCGATGCCCATTATCTCGTGACCGTGATTCTGATCTCTTCCAACTGCGCGAGAAGGTGCGCATGTTGAACGAGCTCGACTGCCCCGAGACGCGCACGGTGGGGTTCATTGGAAACTCTGGGGTCGGCAAGAGCAGACTGATAAACTCTCTACTAGATCAAGAAGGCCTCGCTCGCTCAGTAGGTTCATCATCCTTGGAAAGAGATTGCTTTTGTCAATAATACTCTGACAACGTATGCATAGAGTGGTGATGGTGCTGCATGTACCTCGGTAGTTACCGAGTTTCGACACACGGATGCGCGCCATCCAAATCGTTATTCCATCGATGTTGACTACATGAACGAGGAAGAAGTAAAGGAATTGCTAGAAGAGCTCGTTCAGAGCTTTAGGATGTACTACACCGATCTCTACCGCGATGTGACTAGCATAGAAGAGCAAGAAAGAATCCGTGACCGGTCAACCAGAGCATGGAGCACACTGAAGTCACTGTTTAGAGATCAGCCGGGGCTCACACACGAATTCCTTTCCGACCAGACCGACAGTGCTTTATCTGGAATATTGGAGCGGCTTAAAGATTGGGCGGCTCAATCATGTACGCGACGGCCTGGGGGTGCAGCGCTTCAGCACACCATTATTCCGGGTAATGTCCAAGAATGTAGATCTCATCTTGATATGCTTACAATGGACCCGCGTGGTGAGAGTGAGGTTGCCATCTGGCCCTTGATCAAATTGATCAGGTATGTGCAAACTGTGCAGTTCCACTTTATTTGACTAACATTTTGTAGGGTATACCTTCGATCGCCTGTCTTGAAAACAGGGTTGGTGTTGGCCGACTTGCCTGGTTTGTCCCCTATCTCCTACACTCGAATTTTCTATACATTAATACCAAAAACTAGGCTTTCATGACCTGAACTTCGCAAGAGTTCGGGCGACGGAAAGGTACCTCAGGCATTCATGCCACGAGGTTTTCCTCGTGGCGCCAATTTCCCGGTGCGTTTCCGATCAGAGTATTGAAGAAATAAAAAGGCGCTGTGCCCAAGGACAACCCTTGCGTATAGTGTGCACACGCAGCGAAGTACGACCATCTTATGCTGATATGCTGTTACTGGGGATCGAGTGCTTACTTGACTCAGGAAGTAAATGCAAGCGAAACGGCTCGCGACTGCCGTGACCTTACGGCGCAAATCGAGCAGCTACAGAACAGGCTTAAGCAAGTCAATAAGCGGCTCGCGAGGGAACGAAGCTCTAGGGGGAGACGCGCTGGGATACTACAACTCATGTGAGTCTTGCCTTGCATTGCAGTTGTGCTCACACTATTGATTCAATGCTGACGTGAGTCAATGCAGGGAAAATCATGAAGACGCAAAATTTGAGTACGTCATAGAGCTCAATGGAGACACAAGAGGAAGGATAACGATATCACTAATATTTTTATAGGCTTGACCGATTTCTGGTTGAGAGCCGAAATCTGAGGGTCACAAGACAGTTACTTCAAAACCACGGTGCTGAAGTCCGGGTCTTTTGCGTCAGTAACGAATGGTATTCCAAGTACCGCCAGGATGCAAACAGACACGCCGACACCTATATCGGGCTAAGCGGTATTCGAGAACTTCGTCGTTACTGTCAATTAGTTCCAGCAGAGGCTCAGTTTCGGTTTACAGCTGCGTTTATAGAGCATCGGGTGCCGGCTGTTGTGAGATCCGTAAAGCAATGGGTCCTTGCAGGTTCAGATGATGTAACCGCAGAGAGAGCCGATGCACTTCTGCAAGTATTACGGGATGTGGAGAACGTTTTTCGCGAGGTAAGAGCATCATATGCGAAACTGCGCCCGGCTGACATAGAGTAGAGGCTTATCCTTCGAAATTCAGAAATTCGAGAGTTTCCAAGAAGACTTGAAGATCGGTTTCGTAACGAGATCTTCGGTGTGACGTGTGAGTATTCTGCCAAAGGGTCAATTAGTACACTGACTAACAGTTCTTCATTGCTGTAGATGAGTGCTGCCCCTTGTGGAAACGCAGCGCATTACAGGCTAGCGGGGTTTGGGAACGTGTAAGTTTATGAGTTACTACCGAGAATCACCGTGGAAAAAAGCTAACATATCGCAGTGGAATCATGGTACATATTCTGCTTTCTGTCGCAAATATGGAACGCATTCTACCCCCGGTGCTGATGGTTATCACTGTTGGAATGAGGAATTGCTGGGAGGCATGCAAACCGATCTCGAAGAACGCTGGGCATCCATACAAGAGTGGGTCTGTATGCAGAAATCTGTATTAGAAGAGTCTGTGAGAAGAACATTTGAGGAGAGCACAGCCCAAATAGAGGGTATGCGGTATCAACCAACCCCTCTAGCTGAGTGTTCCACTAACCCACGCTAGATATAATGCATCTAGCTCCCCTGGCTCTGAAAAACTTCATCGACAACATGGACGACTGGGAGAACTGCGTGATTGCAACCATTAACCAGTCTATAGATCAATTACTCCAAGGGTTAAGGTAATACATCCTCTCCTGCCAACTGTACAAGCATCATGAATTAACCTCAGTGTGTACAGTCGGGTAGAAACAGACACTCTCCATGGCCATGATAGCTCCTATATTGCAGGTTTAATGCGACCTGTGTATAATAATTGCAACAGTGAATCAGGTTCGGAATCTTCCTCGTTAATATGATTTTGTCTCATGTGCTATATACGGAAGCAATCTAATTTTGATGCAGGCAGAGGGTCTGATTCTCGACGGAAAATGCTTATGCATAGCCACCTCACGAGCTCAAACATCTTCTTAAACCTCGCTAATATCAGCGAAAGCCAACGCCGAGCCATTGTCAGAGAGATTTACCAGGAGATGAAGCACATGTTAGATGAGCAAGTAGGCAATATTTGTGACGATCTTCACAGTATAATTGCTGAAGAGGGTGAGGTTACGGAGGCAAGGAGGTTCCCTGAAATGGCGAGTACGCTGCAATTTAAGGTTGATGGAGCCCAAGCGACCCTCGAGCGTGCGCAGAGGATTGTGGACGGATTGAAGAGCCGACCACAGTGATGTATAGCTTTTTTGGATGATGTCGGGTAGATATTGGACAGTCAGGTATATTTTTCCTACTTTCTATAAGAACTGTCATACATATCCAGACGCTCAAGCAAAGTCCCCCTAGTCTTCTTAGAATTATTGATATTATATGAAATTATCCATACCAATTCTAAGACTAGCCCCCTTACTTGAAGTAATATAGAGCTTATCTTTAGTATTCTTACGAATCCGCGACATCACTACCCTGAGCCGGTATCTCAATCAGCCCTCTCTTCTCCTTCGTCCTCCACTGAACTCCCTTCAGCAGATTATATAAAACAGACAGAGTAGGCATAGCCACTCCATTAGCACGACCAACCCGAAGTGGTTCTCCAACAATACTCTCGACCTCAACAAGATTGCCCTATCACAGACCGTCAGCAAAACAACCCCTAAAAATAAAGGAATCAACAAACCTTCCAAACATCCTCCAACATACTCGGAGGCAGATACATAGTCACAGGGTAAGCCCCAATAACCTTCTCACAGACATCCTCCGGCAAATCCACCCCGACAGACCTCGCCGCCGCCCGAATCTCCTCCATCGCAGGTCTAACAAGCATGTCAACCGCATCACCCGCAAGCCGAATACGCCCTGTGTCCAAACCCGTAAGCGCACAAATCGGATTCAAACACGCATTAAAAACCAACTTCCTCCACCGACTATACTCCACATCTGGTCCCAATATACATTTCGTCTTCCCAGCCGCAGAGTACAACCCTACGAAGCGCTCTGCGGCTGCCGCTTCAACCCCAACATCCAAATTAGGATTCCGGAATGCACCAATGACCAGATCATCCGCGGACCCATGTTCAATCACTCCCGGTGCAACCTCGTGCGAATCAATCATGCTTATCCCCGAGAGGACAATGTTCTCAGGGAAAGCAGCGAAATAGGGCTTTTCGATATTCAGTCCGTTTTGGATTAGCACGATCACAGTATGGCCTGGCGTTACGGCCGGCTTGATCAGATCGACTGTTGACGGGGGACAATCGGTGATGACTTTTGTGGTGCAGACTATGTAATCATATTTTGGGGATTCGGGTTTTGTCTCGGGGATAAGATTTGTTACTGATTCATGATATGATTAGCGGGGATATACCATATAATTTGGTTGGGTTTTGGGATAATGCGCACTGGTGGTTGGCTTCCATCCTTTTAGAACTCCGTGGTCGCAGGATGTGATGTTGAAGCCGTTGGATAATACGGCTTGGTAGTTTGAGCGTAGGACGGCGGTTACTTGGGCTAGTTTGCCTGCTTCGAGGTTTAAGGCTGCGATTGTGCCCACGCCGCCGCTGCCGATTAGGAGGATGTTGGCTTTGGGTGTTGACATGGTTTCTTTCTTTTTGTTAGTTGGTTTGTTTGTATATTTGTTACGGGAGGGACTTGGATACCTAAGGGCAGTTTGGTGGTGAGGGGGATGTACAGGTGTATCTTCAACTTGGTGTGGGGAAATTAGTCAAGCATACTTAGTGGGTGATTAGATAGGCTAAATTATGGCGGGCAGCGGGGGCTGTAGAGGCCTTGAGATTTGGGGTTCATCATGTCTTAGAATCATAATAATATGGTGAGGTCTTGAAATGCTAGTAATTAGGGACTGTCTATTCAGATAATTGTTGTACTGCTGACGAACAACCTTAAAACGAGTTTGGTAGTAGCTGAAGTTCCTAGGGTTAGCGTTTACATCGCCTCCAGGTCATATTTAGACACGAAGAGCATGCTCGAACAGGCATTATATCTAGAGGTGATACTCAGATGTAGTCGGCAAAGCTGTATCTATCCCGATCTATGTTTTGAGTGACTTTGCTCTGGTCCTATCCTAGAGACAGATAAAGTGTTGCATCAACACCAACAACGGATAAGCACCATTACTCACTGCCTAAGGTCAAATTGAAAGGTCTCAGCTTCCATCATCATTCTTTATGACAATTATGAATTCCTTTCAAATATTTCCCATAAGGATTTTCACTACCTTGTCGAATTGTTCGGCAAGGTCGTTTGAAGCCCTATAAACCACAATGCCGGAAAGTGACCCGACAGGGATTTCATCGATAGTTTTCTGCAATGCCACGAGGTCCGAGAGGAACCTTGTTTACAGTGATAGACCTGCCCCAATATAAATCCGTAAAACGCCATTTGCTAGAAGGTAGACAATAGGAAGCTAATATATCCATAGCTTGCAAATTTATACATCCGCTGCTCCCGTACGCTACAACGCACCCAGAAGATGGAATACTTTGATTTAGATATTTAGTAAAGTAGATATTTAGAGTATAGATGAAAGAGTTCCCAGTGAAAGGAGCACCTGCTTCATCTCCTAACCTGGGTCTTTCATGCCCTCTCATACCAGGGGCTTAGATTAGGGCTGCAGGATTTTTGTTACAAGTTATTACTCATATATCAATCTAACCCTCCCTGCTTTCAACAAAGCCGGGCTAGCTCAATCGGTAGAGCGTGAGACTCTTAGTCATCACGGTATCTCAAGGTTGCGGGTTCGACCCCCGCGTTCGGCTTTCCTTTTTGCATCCTGCACATGCTGTTGTACCTTTTTTTTTTGGATCAAATTCTGATCTGAAGGTGTTGAAACAGCAAGGGTTCGGTTCAGACTATGATTGGCCGACTACTGTGGGGCGAAATGCCGCAAGCGGGTAGACGGCATGAACCCCATCAAAAACTTATGCAGCCCTATTCAGGGTGCCGAACTAATTTCGACTGGGAGAACCTACCTTCATTTGTAATTCTGAGGAAATATCCAATTTATACCCTTGTATACTAGGTTATGTATCTCATACTTCTATTAGCACGTCCTTGTATGAATCGCTGATCAGAGAGTTTTTTTTTTTTTTTGCATGCCACTGAACATGCTTAAGTTAAATTAATAACCCGCCTTCATATATGAAGTTAGTTCAGATTCATTTCATGGAGTCTTACATATTTCTGTAAAAGCCTTTCAAATTTTTTCTGCACGGTCGAGTACAGTCACATTGTGAGACAACTTAGCATGGATCAACATCTAAGCCCCGACACCATAGATCGTGACTTACCGACCCTTTGGTTGAGTTCTGAGCTCGCTTTGTCCTCCAAGGTTTGCTACGACAAACCATCATTATGGGCATCCTCCATAGACCCTTTAAACAGTTGAACCGGTTCCCTAGCGGACAAAGAACATTAAAAATGTCTGTTCTGGGCCAAAAGGTTTTTCATCGATTTGTTGGTTCGACGAATACCCATGAACCTAATGCAACAAGGAACAACCTGTTCTACTATACTTCCGGCCGTTGGCTATACGATGAGCACAGTCAACTGAGTCGACGATATATCGAGTTCAACATCCAAGCACTTCAGAGGCATGCCTCTCAGGTGCTCAGAGCTAGATGCATTGGAATAACCAAACTACCCGAAGGCCTCTATAACAGAGTCCTTTCTTTGGAGATGGAGGGTGGTGGGGAGGTATTAGCATGAACTCCAAATCCAAATGCTGGCCATCCTGAACTCGTGGTTTCTAGCGAGGTTGCAACTCTTGACTTTGTACGCGGCTCTGGATGCTTCTTACCCTAACCTTGACTCGTTAACCAACGAGGTATTATCACTATAGCTTCGTAATGTGCTTGATATTCCAGTCCCTAACGCTCTGGCCTGGAGCTTACCATTACCAGAGTTGAATTCAGTGGGTACAGAATACGTCCTGATGGAGAGAGTGAATGGCCGCCAGCTGAGCGACGTTTGAGCCACTTTGTCCGAAAAACAGCGCTTTGGTTTGACGAAGAACTTGGTAGAAATCGAGAAGAAATTTGTAAATACTATATTTACAGGTTATGGTATTCTATATTTTAAGGCCCTATGCCCTCACGGTTATGATGCTGTTGACTAGACCTAGCTGCTTATGCTAAAATAGGAGGCAGTATCAAGATTTGTTATTGGCCTAACAACCGAGTGTTCATTCTGTGTTGATGAAAGATAAGAGCAAGGTGTGAGGGGTCCACGTATTTGCTTCCGCGACGCTGTATTCTGGCCTCTCTCTGATATTTGCTATCCATTTCTGGTAATAGTGTATTAATCTTAATCTGTAGGGCGAACGGCAAAGAAGTATCTTGCAGCAGTTGTGCGCCGTGAGATATCACTACTCCAGAATTCCGCAACCCACAAGCCCAAGGATGTTCCAGCGGCTGTACGAAGATTAAAGGGGACAATAAACAACCATATTCGACTATTGGAGAAATTTGTAATGGTTTTACCCCATATCCTGCCTACTGGAGAGCTAACTAGACCTGTTCTTATGCACCGCGATCTTCATCTCGATACTATCTTTATTGACCCGGCGGATCCAACAAAGATATCCAGTATAATCGACTGGCAAGCAGTTTATACTGCTCCACTTTTCTTACAGGCCAGATTCCCCTTTTTTTCGATTGTGATGACCCTTACCCATGGGGAGCGATCCAGCCTCAACTACCCGATGAATTTGACACTCTTTCGCCCACGGAAAAGGAACTCGCCAGAGAAGCACACGACAGACTGAGATTGAAGAAGTTTTACGAATTGGCTTCAAGGAAATTCAACCCGCTTCTCATAAGGGCCATGGATTCCATGAAGAGTGATGATGATCCTACCTCTTATTTCTTCTATCTCGTCGGGCAATCTTCATCTGATGGTCCAGTGACCTTAAGGGAGCTTCTCGTCCAAATCTACGAAAACTGGGACCAGATCGCGAAGAAACAAGGATTAAGAATGCAGTGCCCAATATCATTTACCGAAGAGGAGATCAGGAACGGACGGCGCCAGGGAGAAGAGTGGGCAATAGCTTTCAATGAATTCGAAAACCTGCGAGCTCAACTTCTCGGGAAGGAAGGGTGGGTCTTCAGCGAGGAATATGACGAAGCGATGCAAATATATCAGTCACAAAGAGGATTTAGAGGCCCTTCGACGGCAACTAGAGCAGTTATCATAGCAGCTTCTTTGACGAAGCAACATGGAACAACCAGGAATTCTGGGCAAAAGCTGCGGTAACAATGTATATTAGTTTCTGATTTAGCAGCATTGAGGTTGACGGAACGACATAGTGGCTGGAGACCCCCCTAGACACGCTAGTCAATACTCTAGATAGACGCCAACAACTTTTACATTTTTTCATGTCACTCAAAGAAAGCCCCAGCCCCCTTCCACCCCCAGAGAAAAGTATTACCCAGATGAAATATCTACATCACCTCGAATGATGGGGACCGCGGGGCCCAGCATCTGCCTCTCCCCAATTTGCAAGGGTATTCCCGTGAGTGAACGCCAGACAATCATCTACTGTGAACCAAGAAAAGACGAAACGGATGATTTTCGTCCCAACAGATATTGATTGACTAGATCCTTGTCACTAGGCACCGTATTTCCTTGTTAGAGTAGTCGCATGCCGCAGGATATGCATCATGATTTCAAGACGAATTTGTTGGCAGTTTGCGTCATATGCCGAGGATTTCCCTTCTGACGTATGTTTAGCCGATCTATTCCTACACTGAATGTGACTGGGGCATCGGAGTAGAGAAGCATACGTCAGATGACTGAGGTCAGCATTTACAAGGGAGGTTTATACAACTCGAAGATCACTTAAGTCGGGCCCGGCTGATACATTATGTTCTTCTCTATCATTTCCAAGTGCTTCCATTGTTGGAAAGCATTTGTACTGTTCCGAGGATCATACGCAGGAAAGGTAGACTTCGATTCATAGCCCAAGTCTCTGAATAGCTTATGGCATGAGGTAAATCTTAGAAATGGAAGATTAGTGGAAACGAGAATGACTTGTAAGTCTTTGCCACATACGTGTCTATCTCTTTGGTTGGCATTATATTACTGGGCTATGACAGGTCAAAGCAAGATTGCGCACTACATGTGAACGTGTAATGCCACTGATCGTATTGGGTGCAATGCACTTCATATGCCCGGTGTACTCTTATAGCCGACTTTATAGTGTGGCCACGGCATAGTTCAAAAATGTCCCTAGGAGGCTCTTCAAAACGTTGCTCAAAGTAAACAGATCAATGTGGTTGTTTTTGCAGCTGTATAATGATCCCAGGGGGCACCACGGCCTACTCTTCTTACTATGATAGGTTTCGGGAGGCGTAGGAGTCCTCTGATAAAGAAGGTATTTATTCTTCTTTCTTTTTACCATGACCTACACTGTAAGTAACGCCAAACTACTCTACATTGGCAATTTCCATCCCAGGTACGAAAAGAACGGAGATGGTGAGATAGTCATAAATTCCAACAACCCGCCATCAAGCCAGCTCCTTAAAAAAAAAAAAAAAAAAAAGGGAAGAGGAATGACTACTCCAAGCAACTCAGAGAAATGGTAGGCATTATAAATTGAGACTGGCTTACTCAGGGTTGCGCTTGACTTCAATTTTCTATTACGAAATGGATCACTTTTCTTCAGGTCATGGATACGATTGATTGCATGATGATACTGGACCGAACTGCCTAGGCTCCCAAGTTTTAAGTCATCTACCAAGTCTCGATTCATTTTATTTGGTCTTGTTTGGATGTGAAGTCGCCTATCAGCAAGCTCTCGCAACCCATTCCCAAGTTGGATTAGGATGCTCCCCGCACAACGGCAACGACATCCCCATAGAACCCACTGCCGAACAACAACCACCACCACCACAACCAGCTTGCTACACCCCTATAACAACTCTATCTGACCAGGAAAGAATAACTAAATAGAATCCGAATGACTCAATGCCCGAGACCCCGAGGCATATCTGCGCGGGGGGCCCTGTCAACTGGGGTTACTTCACATGCGAACCATAGTTGACTACCGATCTGGGGGCTTTAGTTCGATGGGCCCTCATTACCGGAGCCCATTCAGGGGCCACATCTCTTTTTTGTTGGGGAAGAAAATAGATCTACAGATGATGATCTACACTCCAGTACTTTCCATCCTGCACTGCGAAACAGCCTCTTTTCTTTCCTTCACTTTCACATGTAGAAACACACACTCTCTCCGGAACTACCGGTGGCCCCTCTAGCGACAAAACGATATAAACAATGGCTCCTCCCTCGCCAACCTCCCCCAGAAGAGGGCAACCATATCCAAGAGACCCAGATCACGGCCAAGAACAGCGAAAATGGCTACCAAGCCCAACCCCAAGGACTCGATGAAGTCCACCTGGCGCACCGCCAGCCGCGACGAATGGAACATCAACCACTGGGCCATCGAGCTGCTGAACGTACACCCAACCGAGCTCAATAAGGAAATCCCCGTGCACCAAAAGGACGAAAAAGTCCCCTACATCACGCAATGGTCGCTGAACATCTGGGTCCTCTTCTACGGAGCCCTACCGCTACTCCTGCACCAAGTCTACGCCACCTTCACAGGCCACAATCTAGGCCCAATAGCCGTCTTCAACTTCTACTTCATGGCCTTCAACGCCGTCGTCATCTTCGAAGTCCATATCCTCCGCCGCCTGGGCCACATCTACGGCTTCCTCGACGGCGACAAGCACGACCGCGATGGCGTCCCAGACGTCGGCATCGCCAAAGTCGTAACATCCCTCTACAAGACGACGGGCTCGCGCATGGCCCTCGCCGTTTACTTCACCTACAACATCAACCAGCTCCCCTCTCAGCTGAACTGGACCATGTTGCCGCTTCAAATCGGCGTCTACGGCATCGTCCTCGACTTCTGGTTCTACTGGTACCACCGTCTCATGCACGACGTCAGCTTCCTCTGGAAATTCCACCGCACACACCACCTCACAAAGCACCCGAACCCGTTACTCGCCGCCTACGCAGACCACGAACAGGAATTCTTCGACATGGTCGGCGTCCCCATGGCCACTTACTTCAGTCTGAAGCTCATGGGCCTCCCCCTCGGCTTCTACGAGTGGTGGCTCTGCCACCAGTACATCGCCTTCACCGAGGTCTTGGGCCACAGCGGTCTGCGCTTGCATTCAACCGGTGCCTCGACCCTAACCTGGCTGCTCGAATTCCTTGGTGCGGAGATCGTCATCGAAGACCATGATCTCCATCACCGGAAGGGCTGGCGCAAGAGTCATAACTACGGCAAGCAGACCAGACTCTGGGACCGGATTTTCGGGACCTGTCATGATCGGATCGAGGGGACGAAGGATAATATTGATTATGTGAATTCGGTTAATATGCCGTTGTTTTGATTTTTTTTTTTTTTGTGTGTGCTTGGATTTTCTCTGGTATTTTGGCCTTTTCATGTGTGGGAAAGCTAATGCGGGGGAGAGACTTGGTATGTGTGTCGGGGATGGTGAAACAAGAATGATCGAGTCTCTTACATTCCATTTGGAAAGGCTGATGAGGAGTTGGAAGGAGTGTGGAGAATGAACGATAAAAATAGTTAAGACTCGGCGTTGTTGTCCTTGGATGGGTGCCCTGTTGTCCTACATTGATATGCCCCTGTACGAATCCTAAGTATATATACCCTCTTTTATTACAGTATAGAATTTATACACTATTTGTTCTTTTTTGTCATCAGTTGAACAGCACTAGAAAGTTAACCTTTTTGAAACCAACAAAGCGTGGTTGCACAAAAAGCATTATAAATGCATAAGATAGCGCAATGTTTGTTAAGAAAGTATTCTATATCATTAAAGAAGATGAAACACTAGGCCAGGTGGTACAGCAGGTTTAGTACAGACCAATTATCACCGAAATATCACAAGGCTATCTATAGGCTACAATACAACTCGAATGTGGCCGCTGGGTATCAGAAAGTCAGTCGCGAAAAACACACAGCGCCTTCTCTTCAGACCTTGTCTAGTAAAAGCAATTAGAGCAAATATCATTATTCGTTGAGTCGAATTATAGTGCGCACATGCACTCTATCAAAGTTTGGTCCCTTCGCGTCCGCTGTCGCTGAGTCTTCGGGGCCGAAGAAATCCCGGAGATGGCGCAGCAGCACTGCTTGGTCCTGACGCCGAGGAACCTAGCTGCCCGGTTCGTGTTTCATTGCCGTTATTGCTGTTGTTGGTACGAACGCCTGTCCGTTGGCTCTGGTGGATGCGAGGGTTCATGAGCCATTGCACCTGCATTCGAATGCTGCTGACAGCGGCATTCGTATGGGCCATATCCTCCTTAAGTCGAAGGCATTCGTTCATGATCGCCATGCTAGCGCGAGCATCTAGATCCGTGATTGCATGTGATAACTGTCCAACTTCGTCTCGAAGAGACTCGTGGAGAGCAAGAAGGTAAGTAGTCGCATTAGACGAGGCGCTGGAATCGTCATATCGTTCATTCGCCGGGTCAGATGAGTTCGACGGTCTCGTCCGACTATTAGCCTCGGCCGGTACGTCCGGGTTCCGCGCAGACATAACACGAGACGACTCGACAAGAGTAGACCGGATACTCGCAAGTCCATCCTCAAAGATCTCATTACGCTGTTGAAGATGACGGATAGTCAACTCCATAGAATCAAGTCGTGCATTCTGAGCTTCAAAATAAGGGCCCATAGTTATCAATGGGCAATTCTGCTCGTGCACTACTAGCTCCGCTCGTTTAACTTTGACAGGACACCCGTACTTGGACGCTGCGCAGCTATGGATCGCCTCTGGACATGCATCTATGTGTTCCCTCAAAGCCTTGCGAAATACCGTAGTCTCACAATCAGGACATGTAGTTTTCAAGCTCGGGCATAGTTCCTGAACGTGCTCCTGCAGTTGGAAGCCTTCGTTAGTCACAATTTGATTGCCAACGGTATATCAGACGCACCTGGTAATCTTGCTCCATGATTTCCTCCTCACAGCGTGAGCATATATGAAGCTCATGCATGCATTTGTTTTCTGCACTCAGGTCCTTCTTCCGAGTCTTCTTTGTGCAGAAGACATTTGGACAGTCCAGAAGTCTGTAGCCGCAGTATTTGTCGACATGGGACTGAATATGGCCTCTTGGAACGATCTCCTTGCAACCTCCGGCCTCAAAAGGGCACTTTACCCGTATATCGTCGCACATATTGACCAAGAATCGAGGGACGTTAAGGTAGACCCCTCTCGCTGGCGCTCGACAGGTAGGGCATTTGAACTCGTCTCGACCGGTGGCAAAGGTAGTGATCGCTGTGTTCAGACATTTCTGACAGAACACATGGTCGCATTGTAATCTTACTGGACGTATGTATGGACAGTGACATATCGCACACATGAGATGATCGTCGTATCTGGAAACATAATCCAAAGAGCGGAGGTCGACAATCTCGTCAAGGTCGCTGCTCGGCTCCATCGCAAGAAACTCGTCGATATTCATCTTGCACAAGCGCACCCAGTTCGCAGTTCGTCAGATTTATACTCTAAAAGGCCCTCAGTCCCGTCGCACAAGTAACAGTCAATGTAGGGGGCGATCAAAAACGGATCGTCTTTCGAGTTGCCGAAGGGGATAGGAGGATGAAACAATAGCCCCGAGAGGCACGCATGAGGGGTTACACGGTGGCTGAAGTTCGCTCGGAATGTAGTGACTTGGCGGGCGATTGCAACAAACTCGACGATGTGTCTAACACAAAGAAAGAGTGGAAATGAGTCGAGAGGTGGAGCTAGTAGTACTCGGAGAACCGGAGACAAGGAAAGGAAATCGGTCGCAGTACTGCGGGGGACGAATTGAGCGGACGATAATTGATAGCGATTCCACTGGATGGCGGCGGCGGCAGATCACTCCCGCGCCCGGCCGAGAACAGTCTTTCCGTCTCACCCCCTCGGTCACACTTCATCTCCATCTTCATTCCACCATTACTATCATCATTTTCACCATCATTCTGGGGTTACTCGCTGTGTCGATCACTTGGCCATAGCTGTGAGTGAGCGAGTCATAATCCTCTCCTCTCCTCTCCTCTCCTGGTCAACCGATCCCGAATTTGTCAGAAATCCTCCCCCCAGGATCTACCCGAGTCTTTGTCTTCTCCGCATTGCCTCATCAGTCAGGCTGACACTGCGACACTTCATCCGCCAATTCGCGACATATCACCCTCTCATTCCGGACCCACCGTCTTACCTCAAAATGCCGAACCCATCGCAGCTCTTTCTCCTTGCAGACCATATTAAACTCTCTCTCTTAGAACGACAACGAGCGATCTCATTGGATTTGGAACCCAATAGTCAAGACGGGGAGATCTCTCGCTCTTTGGAATCGTTGCACGACGGCATCAAGGATGTGGAGCGAGGCCTCGCCCAGTTGGAGCAGGCCAACGACGATGGCGCCCCCGAGATGAAAGACCAGCTATTTCATCTGAAATCGCAGTATCAGGATTTGTCGTCTCAGTTCAGCGGACACACCACCTCAGCCGGCGCCAGCGGCTCATCCCCATCGCCTGAATTCACCAATGTCAAGTCGTCTCCTGACCTCAAACAACCAGTCCCGCAGCATCCTCCTTCTAAGTCGGTTCGGTTTATGAACTCGGCTACAGAAGAAGCTGATCTCGAGCGACAAAACCTTTTCCGGCCGTACCGCGACTCACCTTCCCCGCCCGGCGTAGACCAATCTGACATGTCAAATGAACAAATATATGATCGACACAATGAGATCATGCGCGACCAGGACGAACAGTTAGATCGCCTAGGTGAATCCATCGGGCGGCAACACCAACTCAGTATTCAGATCGGGGATGAGCTAGAAGGCCACGTCGCGCTATTAGACGGTATGGATGGTGATGTTGACCGACACCAACATCGGCTAGACGGGGCTAGAAAACGGCTGGACAAGATCCGGAGAAGCGCGGGTGACAACTGGAGCTTGATGACGATCGTCGGTTTGATCATTATCCTGGTCATTCTCATTGTCATTTTGAAATAAAGCCTAGAGCGTATAGAACCTCGGGTATCCTTCACATTCTTGCGAATTTTGGTCAAGGGCGTGTTCCTCTGAAAGGCGCAGGGCGTTTCTTTTTGGACAGGGGTGCGGATTCCCTATGAATGTATTGTCGGTTTGCCTTATATTGATGTTTGAACTTACATGGTGTCTGGAGTAATCATCAATTACGGATTTGTTCATTTTATGGCAACAATTGCTTTTTTACGTCACGTTCATGCAACTCCCAGCAAGGACTCGGGTTCTTACACACCACCCTACACAATCTACATCTTATACCCCATATCAATATCATACACCCAATCTTATTCCTCAGGGGTTGTTATACATGACATCAAGAAGCATCCTAGCCTAAGTTAATGAAACCAAGCACATCTCTTAAAACTCAGATTGCACCTTAGGACCCCAATTACGAAAAGACAATAGTACAAAAGAAAGAAAAAAGGAAGCTAAAACCCATTCCTTTATTGAGTCTTGTTCACCGGTCCATCCCGGTTAGGCAGATGCTTCGTCTTCTCCTGCAAATCTTTCATATCATAACCGTCACTATCGACCTCACCCCGATCTGCTTTGACCTACATAGGACATTAGCACCACAGTCGCCCTTAAGATTTTCTCCTTATAATGGGGAAGGGGGGGGAGATGAGAAAAGCTTACCGAGGCTTCACTGTTACTAGCGAGTTCCTGCTTCCACTTCGCCTTTCCTTCCTTAGTGCTTCTCAATTGGTCCTGCTTGTGCTCTTCGTAGGTGATGTGTAGGTCCTCTCGGTCTGGAAGTGAAAAGGTTAGACTCGTGTGCTTTCAAACAGATACGAGAACAGAAGCAGGGGAGTGACGAACTGTGATCAGATTCCTTGAGACCCGAACGGAGAGGAGAGGTGTGGAAGGCAGAGGTGACGGTATAAGATGGTCTAAGGGCCACACGGGGGGCAATTGTTGAACGGATGGTGGAGGCGAGGAAGGACATGATAGGTTACTTGGTTAATTAGATGTAGAAATTCGAGGGAATGGAAGGTTCTGTATTATTAGAGCTGTTAGCAGCAACTCTCATCATTGTAGAGACAACCATTGCATGAAATAAGGTAGGAAACCTTACCAAATCAAGAAAAGGTTGTCTGATCTATTGTAGATAGTGAAAGTATGTATCTTGCACGCTTTCAATGAGGTACAACCAGTAGTATTTATAATGGTTCGCAGAAATGGAAGGCCAGACAAATTGCTTCCTCCACTGCCTTTGTAATTCCATGTGAGCGAGTGGGTTTGCTGTTGAAAGGGAAGTCCAGAATGTCACCGGTGACGTCATTCATACTCAATCCTGATCGTTCTTGGCAGTGAGGGACATTCAATCCATTCTCCGTACCTTTTTCGTGGACTCTTATTAATTCCGTAATTGGTGATTATATGCTTCAGGGAAACATTGTAACCTAGGTCTATCTTTTCTATTTGAAGTCTGAAATTGTGAATGTGAATTGGCGAGGTTGTTTTTGGACTTTTGGTGATCGTCACGGGGATGACATCACGAGCAGGGGTTACACCTCATACTGTGTATCAGGCCTTGGCAGCTTGTATGTATGGGACATACTTGGAAGTTGTTTCCCCGTGAGCTTGCACATATTAAACGACCCGATGGTAGCTGAAGGACATTTGGCCGATGAGACTTTGATTAGCACAGTTATTCACTGAGTACCTTTCATCCTGGGGTTGTGTTCTTCAGGTGATAACATACAGATCGCCTCCGCGGTATAGTCATGTCCTTCCGCTAACTTTGAGGACTTCAAAAACCAAGTCAGCTTATCGATGACAACTCAGGCTATTGTCAAGCCTTAAGAGTGTGTCTAGACAACAAAGCGAAAGACGGAAAGAGCATTATTGCATCAGTTGTTACTACAGATAAATCAATGGGTTCACATCGAACCAATCTACCACCTATCCAAAACACCCTCCTCCGAGGGTACCTCGCATTCCGAAAATACCTAAATATCCATACAAATATAAAGAAACCTTCTTCCCTCTGAACCTCCACACATCAAAGTCAAGTCACCCGTTAAGCCACCGGGCTAATACAACCCTCCAGATGGAAGTATATATCCCCCATCCCTTAATCAAACATCAATCGGAATCGTCGGTTTACTCGCAGCACAAAATGAAACTGTCATGATATTTTCACACCCTCCTTGACTATTCTTAATCATCTTAACAGTGCACGAATGGTCATTCCTCGCACACTAACCAGAAGATAATCACCGAGTACAAAGCAATATTAACCCTGGCAGTTAGCTTTTTACTTACCGGGGATTCACGTCTACATTTCATACTCCAAGTGCTAGTCCGTGTGCCCGTACTATGTGTAGCATAGCTTATGCACGCTGTCCCTGCCATGTTGCGGCAACTTTGTACAGTAGGCACATAGTTAGCCAGGTAACTAGTTGTTCATTTTTGGCCTGAACACCGTTGATTCAAAGCGGGATTTGTCCCGCTACTGAAATCTATTTATTTTTCTTTGCGGTTTAAATATCCCAATTCTTCCTAGAATCCGGGCTGTTGATACTTTGCGGGAACGTAGACTGAGGGAGAGGCGGCATTATATAGTTGTTTGGGAATTAGTTGTCCAAGTTGGACCACAGGAGGCTAGTTTATGTCCGGTTTTTATAGTGCAAGGTAGTCTAGGGGAAGGGGCTTGCCACCCTTGGGAAATTACTGCTCTACTGAAGGTAGTTGTTCAGGGGGGGGGCGAATATCTGTTTGTCCTCTAGGGGGTACTGCTTCTGCTGGGTTAGCAGAGAGGAAACCGAGGGGTCGATACGGAGGAAATTGCAGTCGTCTTCATTCTGAAACACCTGGATTGGCAATCGTGCAGAGCATAACCTTGAACAAAAGGTTGGTTTTCCTGATGGAACAGTAACTCTTGCTGAAGAGATCCTTATTTACCTCAGTATGTACGGGATATATTTCTAGCATATTGGGATAGCCTCGACACTTCTTTTTTATGATGGAGATACTATAATGTTGGACACTCTAAAATTTGATAGTCTTCTCTATTATTTCATCTTTCGACATGTAGCTCAAGTTCTTGTCGATTACCTAGTACATACGTAGGAAAGGTTCAAGAGGAGTGTTAATGCTGGGCGGCAATGAATATACATATATTAAATCCAAGACGGTTCACTGTACTTTGTATTACTTGACTTTAGAAGCATCGCCAATGGAGCACTCGAAAGTTCACGGTTCTTTGTAGTATATAATAGTTCTCTCCCTCTAATTAATAACTCTGCCCATAAAGCTAATACATATTATCTATGCAAAGGCCGGTGGGGTTCCGAGCCGTGAAATTAACCTTACAGCACCTAGCAGTTCGTTCAACATGACACACCCAGGTGGACAACTAAATAAAATGGTTGCATACTAGAGTTTGGCGACACCAGGCAGATTAGATGGCTACCCACTGGCATTATCGATAATAACTGTGCCACCATCAGCTACTCTTTTTCACAGACTAGATACATCATTGGTGTCAACCCATCTGCATCTTGATCTTGTCATGCTGGTTAACCTCTGACGCTACAACATGCAGCCGAGTTCTGAAACCATGTCTACTGAAGCGAAAGTTTTGATAAAATAGGACTGTGTCCAAAGCTATTCTCACAACTATGTTTAGGCATTACCTGCATAGCTTAAAAAGAAAAAGGCATATAGACAAAGGAAATGGGATGGAATGACGGAATGCCCAAAAACGAACGTAAACACAAGATCATACACTGCATCACTCTCCGGGAGTTCCCAGATATATCGAAAATATCCAAACGAGTCAACGTTGAAGCAAATGAAGCAAGATTGATGGTCGATTCACGACACCAAAGAACATAGTTTTCAAGTAAAACCGGTCTATGTCTCCCAGACAGACCCCGAGACAAACTCCACATCCAGTCCATGGATTTTCACAGCCGTTAGCCAGAAGCAACAACATAGAAATGTCGCCCATCACCAACCCATATACAGGAAAGAAATAAAGTAAAAGATAAAAGGCACAAATGCGAAAGATATGATCAAACAAACAAACACAAGACATCCCGAACAATTCACAGGCCCAATCAATGCAGACGTATGTCGTTTCCACCTTTCTAGATCCCTAAAAGCATGAAAAAAATCCGACCCACCCAAAACCAACCATGGATATCAGAAATAGATGGCAAACCGCTGAGTATCTTGCAGAGTCGCCAAAGGACACCAAGAAAAAACTCCGGACCAAAAAGAAATGCGCGCCAATATGGCAAATCGCCGCACTTTCTATACATCATCGCGGCCAAAACGACACGAGGTCAAAAGGACGTATTTTCCCTAACCGAAGAATAAAAAACAAGGTATCGTCTGAAATGTGAAAATGCAAAAATCGAATCGCAGGCGCCGTCGCTCGCAGAAAGTCGAAAGCATCACTCTAGATAAAAGTGTTCAAGATCGTCATCGGAGGAGGGTGTATATACAAGAGGAAACAATGATTTAGCCTTTTATCGCAAGAAAAAAAAAGGGAATATCGGTTTAGTCGTAAAGAGATGCGATGGCCATGTCAAATAGTAAACAAAGCAACGAAAATTAAGACCCGCGGTTAGGGAACCCCGATGATGCAGAAGCCGGACGAAGTGGAAGACATGTCATGGGCGCAGGCCCTTGGCTAGTGACATGGCGACTGGTAAGATAGCGGTCCTCACCAGCGACGCTGGACATTCTGCATCGAGGCCGGGGAGATGGACGTAGGCGGGCTGGTCAAGGTCATGCCAGTATGGGGGTTGACGATAGGGATGACCTTGCGGGTGCGGACTGCAGATGGTTGCTGGAAGTTCACGTGATTAAGATTACCGGTAACACCGGAATGGACGTATGAGTTGCTGGATGCGGGAGATAAAGAGATGGACGGTGTCACCTGCTGAACAGGCTGAATTTGATGTTGAAGAGGTGACGAATCGGGAGAGCCACTGGAAAGAGACGACCGATCTGAGCCAGCGGAATGGATTGAGTGAAGCTGTAGATGTTCGGGTGCATGTTAGAAGATTGTCCTGTATTATACGTGGAAGACGATTTCCAATATGGAAGGGTCAAAGGGAGCCGATGCTCAGGCTGTGGAAGAACATACATCGTCCTCGGTCAGGAGACTGGGGCAGAACTCCAAGTCGTCGTCCAAGTCGAAAGACCGTCCAGCCTCGAACCTCGCGCGGAAGGCAGTCACCGCAGGGGCCTCAGCGAGCTCTCTCATACTTTTTACACCCCGAAACTGGCGCTGGGCGTTTTGGGCGGCCATTTTGGGTCCTCGCCGAGAGCGTCCACCGTGGTGGTTATTCGAAGGCTGCATGTGTGCAGTGGCACCGTGGTGAGCATGCTGCTGTTGCTGGTAGAAAAATGCCGACATATTGGTGTTGTCGTGGTAAATGAAACGGAAGAAACAAAGCCGTTATATCGTTGAGTCTTGAAGGTGGATACAAACAAGGGACCAGCACGCTGGAATCCTGAGGATAAACAGACTTTTTAAAAGGAAATAGTAAGGAGAATGACGAAGGGTCGGTTGGAATGTAATTCAAGATAAGGGCAGAAGTAATCACGAGAGGAAAGAGAAATATTACTGAGATGAGGAGAAAATTGAAGCGAAGGGTCGGAGACGAAAATACGTTTAGTGGTTGTGTGGGATGGGGAATCACTGATTGATGGCGGGACAAGAAGTTGAAAAAGAAGACCGGGAGCGAAGAAAAAGAGCCCGGAGTGGACGGAGGCGAAAGCAAGAGGGGCTGCAAGTGTTATTCGGCTGGGGCTGAGTGAGTGGAGCATTGCAAGGGAATCATTTGTAACGTACCGTACTAGTACCCCCGGCGATCAACAAGAGTTCCTCTTTTCCGGCACATCTGTGTTGTGGTAAGTTTGGTAACATTTCCGTTCCGACACTCCTGCGCTACTGGCAAGGTCACGCACCAGTTTTAGGGCAGGAGGCCACCCAACCAGAGAGCTGTTGGCGGTAGCTCAGTGGCAAGTCTAAGTATTAGGAGCCAATAACTGATTTCCAAGTGAATTCTAAGTGGGGATATTACAGCCACTTTGGATCAGCAGCCAATGATTAAATTCTAGAGCGGCTCGAGGCGGCTACCAAAGTGGAATAGAGTGACGCTGTAAGTTTTGCCCTAATCCTTATCGAGGGTAGATAACCTCCACCATCTCGAGACCTGATATCTGGGCATTACTTGATTGAGCATAAGTGGCTGTCGGCCAATGCCCGGCCCTAGTGTGTCAGCCTGGCCTTTAAGGCTGTACTCATTTTTTCTTGACGAACCAATACCCGCTAGTACGGCTACAATACGATGGATGGTATGATGGTTAGTAAGTTGCGCACCCGACTCCCTGTTGTATGATGCGTACATAATGGCCGTTGACTCTGTCCTATGGAATGACGACCGGCGTAGTACGGACTATTGAAAACGGCTGTGGATCTACAATCATATTTTGTTTTTGTGAGACCCAACGAAGATCGTGGCGAGTATGCAGAGGGATGACGAGGGACTACATCATATCATTGCCAATAACGAGAGAGGGGGACGGATGTGTCCGTTTTGCCCTACTCAATGGAGCATATTTATTTCACAGTATCGCTATTTCATTGCCGGAGAAGGCGGGTTAAAGACATTCTCATGAACATCATGGGGGGAAAAGGATGGAATGTGGTACCCATTTCCGAAGACAGACAAAAAGTAAAGAGGAAAAAGGGAGAAAACGCCTACGACATGTGCGGGTAATGATTTGCAACATGTAAGCTCCACTCCACCCCTTTGGGTGAGAGTGATTTGCTGTGATCATTCTCGGTACCTTTCCCTTGATTGAACCGTGCCACTTGGTCCTGGAAGTCTAAAGCGGATCCTTGTTTCCCCCAACCATTCATTGAATCCATAGATAGCAAATCCTGCGCTGGCCCTCTGACTCTCTGACATCGCCCTGCGGTCTTCGCGGCTTCGACAGTTTTCCAAAGTACTCCGTAAAAGTCTATCCTCCACCTGATCTGAAAATCCCCATTGTAATGGAGCACTAGCTCAGATATTGGGCGTAATAAATAACCACCTTATTCAGCCATAGTGATGTACTGAATACAGAATGTATGATGCAGACATGGAACCCAAAGCCCTTTTTCTTGTTACCTGATTCATGGGGGACAAAATTGATGGGGTAAATTTAGGTAATTTTATTTATTTGTTTGTTTTGTTGTTGACTGGGGCCAGCAACAACAGAACCGGGCAACATCGAGAGGCGCCCATTTTGTGCAGAAGTACTCCGTCCTCCGTAAAAATTCGATGACACCAACAGCGATAATGCTGAAGTCCCACAGAGATAATGTAATACCGATTTCTCCCGTAAAGATGGATCTTTTCCTAGGACTTTATACCGCTTTTAAAGGCGGTGCTACAGCCACAATGTGGTCTGCCCGTCCTTCGAAACAAACTAACGGCGCTTGCTCATCATCATCAAAAAAGATAATAATAGATACGTATCTTAATTCTGCTGTCAAACGCTCCCGACGCATGGTGCCGGGTGTGTGCTCTGATCGCCTGGGCCCTCATCAATTCCCTGTTAGAGTCCCCGACTCGAAAGAAATAGACGAGTGGTTGGAGGATACAGCAAACTAGTACGTTATGCGATATGCACTGTGTGGAACTACTGCGAGGTAAGCTGGCGGTTACTGGAACAGCATCATAGCCTTAATAGGGTCACACCTCCTGCAAGCCCTACACATGGATTCCTGGGGATGGGTGACTAGTACTATCCTTTTCCCGATTATCCCAGGCGCAGCATTGGGTACCCATCCGTCATTGGCGCCAGAGACCCTCACCCTGCATGTAGGACGTGTTGGTAACTTGGTGTCCATTAACTTGAGGGCTTTCTTAGTTTCGAGACCAACTCAATACTGCGAAATGTTCCTGAAAGACGGCAACTTCATCTCACCGCCCCTTTTGTTCAATAATATGGGTTTCCGCCCTCCCAGCCATACACCTTCCCCTCTTTGACTAGAACTTTGTTGATAATGTCATTATTAATGATAAGTCATATTGCGTTTATTATTTCCCGACATTATACGAGTCTTATACTTTCCATATCTTAACTTTTCCACTGTTGTCTCGGCTAGGAAGCTGTATACAGTGTATAATGTTTAGAGTAGATAATGACGACGCCACAGACGGGGAGGCAAAGAACAATGCATGTGTATAGGAGCAACTAATGTATTCGATACAGGAATCTTCACCATTCAACGACACAAACCAGGCTGCACTGCAGAAGTCGCTTGTTTGCTTTGTCTCCGGTTGATTACACCGAATCAGCGACCGAGCCAAAAGTGATCCTATAGGCCACCCCAATCTCGGAGTAAATGTGGTACATCATTCGAAGGCAACCGAAGCTAACGTACCCCAAAAAGCAAGGGGTGTGAAACACGATCTACTCCTGTTCTTGCTGGGCAAGTCTCAGGAAGCGCCCGTGTTCCAGTCTCAATTGAGTTTTGGTGGCCAATCAGCCACTGTTATCTCCCTTGTCTCCAAAGACAAGATCTCATGTATAGAGTATGTAAGTCGGTGGCTCAAGGAGTTGCAAAAGACTCACACCGACACAATTGCACATACATCTGTCTTATACTCCACTATTGATTTTAATTTTCCGATCTTATTGCAAGCGCACGGGTGGGCTTCAACTGAAGGAATACGTAGTTGGTTCTCCTGTTTTTACTCTGTAGATCCACCGATGCCTGGGCCCCTTGGTGATCCAAAATTAAGTCGCTTCCTCTGCCAGCCGTTCCATGGACATCGAGGCAGCCACAAACCCCCCCCTCTCCTCCCCCTTCTCAACACGCTTTGACAATGGAGACTCATGACGCAGTATTTAGCATGACGATCCAAACCCCTCAATTAAGCATTTGCACATGGATTTTGGACATGTCTGAGACAAGGCCTGGTCTCCAGGGAAGCACCTCCCTGCGTGCTGTGTGATACTCGAGTATGTAGGTATGTACATATGTATGTACATGCTTTACCGTGCGCTCTTTGTTCAGATACAGATAAGCTGGCAATGCAGCTTATAAATCTCTTCACTTGAGATGCCGCCACAAATTCCAAGTCATTGTGTAAAAGTATCGCATTAAGGCACCAAGGGACAATGCATGCACGTGCCTTGGATGCTTGCTAAGCCGATTATTCATCTGGCCTTGGCCTTGAAATCTGACCTAGACCTTGGTGTTGCACTTGTGTTCAATCAAAACTTCCCTCGTAGACGCATGAGTTCTTGTGCCAAATCAGTGTAGATTGATCGACAAGGCATTATAGAGCTTCATGGACATCTTGGCAGCTATCTCGCGAGATATGATTCCCGAGTATGCAGTCAATTGACCTATTATCAGCAATGGAAGCTGATAATAATGTATATCCATTTCGAAAGGGATGAAACAAAAAGCTGTGGTCAGTATTATACGCATCTATGAACAGCCTGAGGCCATAAATTTATGCTAGCTTATCAAATTGAAATATATAGTTACACTGCGCATGTTTCATATGTAACGCCACAAGAAACTCCCTAAATGCAGTGCAAAAGCAAAACGCCGCGATACTACTAGAAATGAGAAATATTATAATGGGCCCATCACATAATCTCACTTGTCCAGATTCTTGCTCTTCACCATTCGGCCAAGTAGCTCCTTACAGTGCTTTTCGCTATAATTCTCCCAGATCTCATACAGAGACACCAGCTCCTGGGTGCATTCAATAACAGCTCGGATATCAACCTCACTCTCAGCAAGCCAGCCAACAAGTTTCTGAATTCGAGGAGGCGGACCAGCGCCATTCTTATCTCCCAAAGCTGCGAGGATATTCACCCCTCCATCCCTCATCGCTCCGGCCAGTGGGGCGGCAGTCCCATGGAAGCTCGTCTGGCTCGGTTTGAAGACAACAGCAACGATGATGGCCATTACCGCAATCACATGAGGTGGGTATAGTAATGGTAGGTCGGTAAGATAATGATCATTGATTACTGACCATGCCAGAGCTACCTCATCTGATGTAAGCGATAGCTCTGGTTGGAGCTCGGATAAAGTCCGATATGGATGATGAACGATGAGCTGTGAGTTCATCTCGGATATCAAAGCGAACTCGCATTCACCTAGCTTTGACACGTCCGGGGCAATGAACTCTACCGGAAAGTCAGCGACAAATAAAAAGAAGATTATCCTCAAAGCTGTTCGTACCGGGCCAAAAGTTCCGGGCCTCTGCGACCACAAATCGGATATGTTGAGGACATTCTTCCATCTTACAAGCGAGATAGAATGCAGTGGTGACCACCAGATATGGATTGGTATGTCTTATCTCGTTTTTAGTATAAAACCGTTTGATGTATACTTGAGCTGTAGCGAGTGCTTGCTGTCTAGTTGACATCCTCTTTCCAAGCTTTATGAGTTCTGTTGAAATGTTTAGTTTAAAATTATACTTAAGACCCTTGAAGACTATCATATCTCACGTTGGCTAAAGTAAATGTTGAGCAGCCTCTGATCCGGTAGAGGAAATTGCGAATGCGCGGCCTTATCTCTCTCTCTAAAGGACTCCCGAATGTCTGCCAATCTTTCTTTCGTAAACAGCCAATGTCGACGTTGAGTCGACGCCCAATAATTGGCAGCCATGACAATGAAAAACGGCCAGGGAAAGTTAATTAATAAAGGGTTGAAAAGTTTCAAGCAGTTGTGACTGAAATCGTTGTCATCATGAAGAACACTCGATGATAATTAGGGATGTATGTGTCACCCAAGTGTTCAGAGTTCCTGTAACGGCCGAATCAACCCGATTCTATCGGCCCAAAGAAACACTATAGACAAGAAACCGCGCTCTAGAGCTACCTAATTCGCTTGTTTCCTTAGGTCATCAAAATATCGCATATGTAGACTGATATCATCCACATCGAGACGTCTGAGCAGGTGACCTAATGAATTTCCTAAAGGGGTATAGTTGGACTGGGCCCTCCAGTCCCGTGAGTCCGGACCGGAGTCGAGGTTTATTCCGGCGTATGTCGTAAGAGAAGCAAATCATCGCGGGTTGATTTCTCACGGCTAGCCGGAGCCCCATCAGACATACCAATGTATGCGGAACCTCTCCTCTCTTTATAAACCAGCTCCACAGATTCGATGCACAAGCTATTATTGCAGCCTACTATACTACCACCCTGTTTTGACAGGGACACCTCCGCTCTCAATCCCGTGACCCCTCCTTGAAAATAATGTCCGATAGCCGATGATAAATTTACAACCGAAAAATGGCACCCGGCGAATCCAAAGATGAACGTGACGAAAGAGTCGCAAAACTCTGGCAGAGCTTAGGTGTCCGAAAGGACGGCCGTCTTGATCTCAATGGTTTGAAAAAGGGGCTGAAAAAGATTGATCACCGTGAGCATATCATCCGCCATGATTTTGTCTCGTGCTTGCTGCGCAGCTGACTGACCCGCCTGCTCTTGGTCTGTTACCCCCACAGCCCTCAAAAATGCGGATAGCATGCTTCAGAATGTCTTGAAATCGGTTGACACCAATGGTGACGGGTATATTGACTACTCCGGTAAGATCACACGCAGTGGATCATGACTTGTCTTCCCGTCGCAACTGGCTGGACGCCAGTCTCTTTACCGACCTAATGATCATCAGAATTTCGGACCTTTGTCGATCATACCGAGCAAGGGTTATGGCAGCTTTTCCAGACCATCGATCGTAATCATAACGGTGAAATCGACAAGAACGAACTCAAAGCCGCTTTTTCCAGCGCCGACGTGACGGTATCCAGCGCTAAACTGGACGCATTCTTTGCGGACGTGGACACGAACAGCGATGGTGTCATTACTTATCCGGAGTGGAGGTGCGTGCTTCATCGGTCAAATGGACCCTGGCTATGGCTAATCCCGGTGATATATAGGGATTTCCTTCTCTTCCTGCCTGCCTACTCCAACTTACGCGCTGTCTTGTCATATTACACGGCCACGGGAAATCTAAACCCGGAAGGAGATGTCCACATCAATGATCTACAGGGTTTAGGTACAGACCACTCGTTTCCTAAGCGTTATATCTTGGCCATAAAGAACCTTTTGTACCATATTCTCCCAGTTCACGCATTGGCAGCCCTCATCCCGTCAGCTTATGCGGAAGTCGGCGGGGCACTCAACTTTGGGGTTGCGCTTGAGAATGATTCTGTATCCTTAGACGGTGACTCCGAATTGGAGTGGCTGCCTGTACCCAGGACTGTCGCCATGTGGATGTCCTTCCGATATTATGAACGAAAGTTGACAGAGAACACTCCTCAATTAGGTTATTTCATTGCCGGCGGGATTGCAGGTGCCGTATCAAGGACAGCAACGGCGCCTCTTGATAGACTTAAAGTCTATCTCATTGCCCAGACCGGTGCGAAATCAGCAGCTGTCTGTGCGGCGAAGGATGGTGCTCCGCTGCGGGCGGCAGGGAATGCATCAAAATCCCTTGCCGATGCTGTCAAGGAATTGTGGCGTGCTGGAGGCATACGGAGCTTATTTGCAGGTTCGTCGACTGAAGTTCGAAACGCAGACCCAATCTAATCGTCACAGGTAATGGGTTGAATGTGTTGAAGGTCATGCCTGAATCAGCCATTAAATTTGGAGCATATGAGGTTAGCTTATTAAGCTGTTTAAGCGGGTTTCTATCGGGGCACTAATATGTCACAGTCTGCTAAACGCGCGTTCGCTCGTCTTGAAGGTCATAACGACCCTAGACAACTTGCACCGACGTCGCAGTTCCTGTCTGGAGGGTGTGGTGGAATGGTGGCTCAGTATGTTATACTATCTTCTATGCATGGAATCATCATCTAACGAAGTGCCAGATGTTTCGTCTATCCTCTTGACACTTTGAAATTGTAAGTTGCCTAATGCATCTAGCTTTCGCGCATGTTCATCCAAGCTAATGGAGCTTGACAGTCGGATGCAATGTGAGACAGTGGAAGGTGGTCTGAAAGGCAACAAACTCATCGCAGCCACTGCCCGAAAGGTTTTGAACAAGCATGGTATACTCGGCTTCTTTCGCGGCTTGCCTCTTGGTCTTGTTGGCATGTTTCCATATGCCGCAATTGACTTGACGACTTTCGAGTACCTAAAGCGCGGATTACTCGCACGGAAAGCTCGCCTCCATCACTGCCATGAGGATGACGTCCCATTGAACAATTTTACCACGGGAGCCATCGGCGCGATAAGCGGAGGATTCAGCGCTTCCGTTGTTTATCCACTGAACGTCCTCCGAACACGACTACAGGCCCAGGGTACCATTCTCCACCCCGCAACCTATAGTAGCATTGGCGACGTCGCTCGCAAAACCATTCAGACCGAAGGCCTCCGCGGTCTCTACAAAGGAATCACTCCAAACCTTATGAAAGTTGCTCCTGCCGTGTCCATCAGCTACGTCGTGTATGAAAACTCGAAACGAATGCTTGGTCTGAGGTAAAGCAAAGAACAAACTTTACGGCCTGGGCCCAGCCCAGGGATCAATAAAGGCTCAGACTTATGCCCAGGGTCTGCTCATTCCGGCTGCTTTCTCGATCTTCCAGCTTATTTCCATTGATATTTAGAATATTTGTCAAGATACCCTTTCAAGCCATTCACTACACGGTACCCCTCTCGCTTCTGGATGGACATATCATATGATCTCCACCTTTGGCTTACTGCTTTTCTCCGATAGCGGGGAGGCCTTTACTTTACCTAGTTTTGCATAGTCTTCGAACGACTTTACTGTTTCTCGTTCCGTTTCCGGCATCGTGAGATCTACATCCGTGTTATATCACATAGCATCTCGGCCGGGCTGCATAATTGACCTCACTAGCATGGCACGGCGTCGTGCCACAAAGCATATTTACGGAGTTCTGCCCATATCGTCACTTTTTTTTTTCATTTGTATACCTATTGGATTCCCCGACTGTCCAAGTATGGGCGGCCAACTCTATATTCACATATATTTAGACCTGCGAAGGGTTTTCGGTCCATACTTTTTACTGCTGTGACATTAGAACATATATTCACTGAAATAAAAGCATAATCATTCTCATTTACAGCTCTTCGGGCACTCAAACATTAGCCATTGATATATCACACAGAAATGAATCCATTCCAATATTCGCGCTACTTCTTCACAGCAGCAGCAGTAGCCCTAACCTCCTCACCCCTTGGCAAAATATCCGGCACCGGCCCAACAGGCGTAATCGCGAACTGATTGATCTGCGTATGACTCTTTGTATAATGAAACTTGATATGCTCAAACTCTGTGGTCTCCCGGAACGCCGGAATGTCCCAATACAAATTCCTCAACCAGCGATGAATAGCAGGATACCCGGATCTGATATCACGGATATTGCACTTGAAATGCTGCACATACACAGGGTCAAATCGGACGATCGTCGTGAAAAGCCTGATATCCGCTTCGGTGAGCGCCGAACCGAAGAAGTACGGCGAGGCGTTGCTCTGGAGGTGGGCTTCGATCTTGTCGAGGGAGGAGAAGAGCGTCGTCACGTTCTTTTGGTAGGCTTCTTGGGTGGTTGCGAAACCGGACTTGTAAACGCCGTTGTTGACATCGTTGTAGATCCACTCGTTTGAGGTGTCGATCTGGCTGTGGAGGTTGGTCGGATAGAGGTCAAGAAGCTTTTGAGAAGAGTTCGAGGGGAGGAGGTCGTCGAATTCATAGTAGAGCATGCGGATTATCTCGGCGCTCTGGAATGGGGGTTCTAGGTTAGTACGAGGTTGTCTGGAGAGCTGGGCAAGTTGACGTTACCTCGTTGCTTACGATACGTTGTGTCTTCTTGTCGTATAACACTGGGACGGTGAATCGGCCTGTGTAGTCTGGGTCGTTGGCGAAGTAGATGTCCCGGAGGTGGGTGACATCAGAGTGTAATGGGTCTGGGGTTGTGTTTTCTCCGGGGAGCTTTTCGTCTGAGGTTACGAAGCGCCAACCTGGAATCGCTGGTTAGCTCACTCGTTCTTTGTGTATTAGGTTTGGAGATTCCGGACCTTTGTCGCCCAGGTGCCAGTGCACAGATGTGAAGGAGATAAAATCTTCCAGACCCTTGAGCTTCCGGGTGATCAATGTGCGATGAGCTACAGACGGTGTTAGCGATTGAAAATCTAATCGAGAACGCAAAAATAGAAGAATATATCACTCACCCCATGGGCAAGCATAGGAGACATAGAGATGGTAACGGTCCTTTTCCGGGGGGAATTCTGCGCCTGGCTCTCTGGAGATCCAATTGCGAAAGACGGAAGTCTGGCGTTTGAACTCGCCCGATTTGTCATTGCGACTGACCCAGTCGGTAATCTTATCGGCATTACTAGTCTATGGCCATAATCTCAGTAAGAAGCTAGAGGCTAATTCATGAGCAATTGGTATAAGCTTACCGCCATCCTGCGCGTTGAAGAAAGGAGGAGCTGTGCGGGGCCGACGGAGCTTCTGTAGGATGTGATGATTTTGGGTTGGGTGATAAACTGCGAGATCTGTTGGGTCCGACACAGTGCAGAGAAAATACGAGACATGGGAGGGGGAGGGGTAATATTTGAAAGGAGGTGTAGCGTTTTCAAGAATTAAGTAGCCATCGAGGACCAGAGCTATATTGCTGGAGAACCAATGGCGGGGACAGCCTATGACGTTACTAGTAGGCTCGCTGCTTACGGCGGAATCACATAACACCTGACAAAGCACTCGGCTCGGTCTAGATTCCGAGATTTGGAGCTTACATGTTCATTAGGAGATGGTTGATTAATCGAACGGTTCAACATAGATAACAATCGATGACGGAGTATCCTCCAGATTTTTCCTTTTCCTTTCTTTCTTTCTTTCTTTCTTTCTTTTTTTCATTTTCAAATTTTTTTTTTTTTTCGCATTTCCTATATGTTTATCAAAACTAGTTTACCCCGCAAAAGCACGATGGCGAACGTATACCATCTTGAAGAAGGGAAAAGTCATATATCATTGTTTATAAAGTTGAGGTACCATATTCTAGCGTTCAGGGTTTATGTAGGTCCGACACATTACTTCCTCAGCTTCACCATCACATAAGGGATCTCGACATCCTCCTCAGTCGTATCCTCAGCCGTAACTTCAAAAATGATGTTCTTTTGATGCTCCGGAACGGGCTTCTTGCTGATATGCTCCACCAACTTGCTCATCCTATATACCAACGTTAGTTAATCAATCCAGTAGAGCAGTCGGGGTTAAGAGAATACGTACGTCAATGGGAGGCGGTCCTTCACCTTCGAGGGGGGATAGAAACTGGCATACAGCAAGCTCACTCCTGAGCTGACCATGCTGATTTCCAAGCCCTTGTCAGAGAAGTGCTTGAGGAAGTCCTGCAAAGGAATATCATCCACCTCGAAGCGATCCCAGAGTTGATCAATTGTCACTTCGCCCTCCTTGCCCTGGTATTTGCCCTTGGGGCTAGGAATGGGTTCACTGAAACCGAAGAATGGAAGTGCAAGATTCACAAAGCCGTTCTTATACTGTTCAATGTCATCCTTGCCGTCGATAATCTTGTAGAACTCTAGGGCCACCAGTCCAGTAACCAGCGCGGTGGTCGTCGCAATAGCAGGAATGATCTTGCCAGCTATGAATTTAGTCTTATGGCGGTCAGCCTGAGGAATTTCATAGTTGTCGGCACGGAGGTTGCTAGCCGCCGTAATGAAGTCAATATGGTGGTTGGTATCATCATCCTTCTCAAACTCAACTGGGTTCAAGCGGAATCCAGCAAGCGACTTCGGCGATGGCAGCGAGTCAACAAGGCGTCGGATATCCTCGTTATCATCAAAAGATGAGCCCGCGTTTCCAGCGTTCGGGTCGGCCTCATTCTCATCGGCCTGGATCTTCACGCCAGACTTGGGAGAGAATTCTGGAATAATCATATTGTCGACAACCTTGCGGTAGTATTCCTTGTCTGCTCCGGGGTTTTTGATTCCATAGTTGAAAGCGTGGAGGTTCGCTCCGGCGACGATGAACCCGAGGTGAGTGGGGTTGGAGCTATCGAACTTCAAAGGTGTTGGAGCACGTTTGGGGCCGGACCAAAAAGGCTGTCCAGAAGAGGTCTTGGAATCCCGAGGGAAGTTGTACAGTAACTGCTGAATTGCATTGTTGTACTGTCCTTCAAATTGATGGCGAGCCCAGGCTATGCAATCGTCAAAAGTCAATGGCTTGTTGGCCACCAAGAAATCGTGCAGTTGCTCCAGAGTCTGCTTCTCATTGCCAGCCTGTTTGAGCGTCTGCTCAATGTAGTTTGGCTGTGAGAGATACATGTTGACAGCCTCAGGGGGTCCAACAAAGTAGGTCTGGAAAAGATCCCTGGCCCAGGCAATGGTGTGCTCAATCCGGTTGGGGAAACTCTTCAGAGTGCACATGGGGAAGGACTTCTCGGGAGGATCCTGGGAGCTGGAGTAGGACTCAGTGATATGTGGAAGGATAACTTGGGTGTTGCCCTTGGTGCCAAGAGTGCCACTCTCGAGGAGAGGCTTGCGGAAGAAGACACAACGACGATCAACGTATGTTCTGGCATCAACGTTATCCAGCGCGTTGGTAACCCCGTCCAATCTTTCCCAAAATTCCTCATTGAAGATATGCTCAGTGTCTTGCCCGACACGGTCACGCAATGCGACAATCTTGCCCTCTAGCTCGGGGTTCATGGCCTGGACAGCGGCTGAGGCACACTCACTCTTAAGCTTGCCAACATCCTTACTGCGGAATAGGAACTGACGGTTGAGGTTGCTCTTCTCGATCTGGTCCATATCGGTAACATAAATTTTGCCTTTAGGACCAGTTCCCAAACCCATCATGGCCCAGTTCTTGAGGGTCTCACATCCAATTGCGCCTGCGCCAACAAGGAACTGGGTAGTGTTGGCGATTTTGTCCTGGAACTCTTTACCAAAAACAGCAATTTGGCCATCATACCGGGTTCCAAGTGGTTTGCAGCTCTCTTCAGACCGGGTAGTGGAAGTCGGAAGCGACTCGAGCGAGTCTAGGTAAAGCCATTGCTTAACTGGGCTAAACTTTCCTGAGACAGCTTTAAGGACCTCCTGCGCTGCAACACCACCAAAGAACGCGGCCAAAGGGCTGAGATCACCGCGTGCTTGGTAACTAAGCTCCTTAATGAGCTTCTCGTCCAATTCAACCTTGTCTTCCTGGTTTGAGGCGAGGTCGTTAGAGATCTTGAGGACTTCCCGGGCATCACTCTCGTTGTGAGGGCGAGGAAGCTGGCCGTCATGGCCCTCGGCAAATTTGTGAAGTGCCTGGACACCGATGTGTAGCTGTTGCGGTCGGTCGAACTTGGCGAAATCCGAAATCATAAGCTCAGGCTGTTTGAGTTGCTCCTCCAAGGGCTGGTAGTCGACAAACTTGGGCATCTTGACCTGTGCAAAGATACCGCCAGACTGGTACGTCCCCAGGCCAGAGACATCACCAATATGGAACGTGTAAGGACCCTTAACAGTAACTTTGCGAGGGGCAGAGTTATTCAGACCATCCATGCCCTTCACCTCAGTGAATGTCACATAGTCTCCATCTTCTAAACCGTGTCGGCTCTCGTCAAGAGCGGACACTAGGCCATCCTCATCAATGCCGGCCACAATGCCGCTCACAGGTTCTTCACCTGTAGCATCACCAATGGTGAAGTTCTTTCCAAAGTCGTTAAAGAGGTAACCGAAAAGACCGAAGGTGTCGGCAATGGTGAGGTAGATGCCATTCTTGTGGCAGAAGTCTGCAATAGCAAGTTGATCCTTCAGGGGTGTGAGGGTAAGAACCACTGCCTGATAGCGCTTCAGTTGCTCCAGGTTATCTACGAGGTTGCCACCTTCGTGGACCGTGACGGGAACATATGAGTTGAGTTCGGCAACCTTAGGGGCCGTCACGTCGGCACGCGGCTTGCCGACATCTTGGGCTTGAAGGAAGAACTGGGAGGAAAGGTCTGAGATAGCAACGGGCGCGGGATCGTATAAAGTGAGAGACTTTACACCGGCAAGAGCAATGTTCTTAGCTGATAGTTGTTAGAGTCGACTGTACTGCATGCGGCCACCATCGTTACATACCGATCTCAACACCAAGGCCCTTCAGTCCGACAACAAGGACATTCGATGTACCCATGCGCTTCATAGCCTCATGTCCAAGCACATACCTGCAGGTAAAGAAGAGAATAGTCAGTATATATTTCCGTGCTGAGATATGAAGCTGGATACTAGGGGCACTCACAGCTGTCGACTGTATAAAGATTCATCGATCTCTCCCTGCTTAATCTTCTCCACAGTTTCCTGTGGGTTGTCGACCTTCATCTCGACGTCCTAGAACTTGTCAGCGGGCTAGAAGAAATTTTAGGAATGGATGGCTGATCCTGAGGCATACCGTCATGACCTTCTTTTCCGGTCGAGTTGGGGACTTGTCGGCAGACGCTCTTCGCTTTCCCAGCTTCGCAGCGTCGCGAACGGGAATTTCGGAGGTAATTGTGGCGATCTGTAAGACGAAAGCCTTGCCTTCAAGCAAGACTTTCCAACAGTGATTGACTCGAGTCTACAGCTCCCGGCACGGGCTTAGGAGGGGTAGCGGTCAAAGTACCGGGAAGGTGGCGGTGATTGTTCTCACTCTAGGATATTGTACAGAAGCCTCCGAACAGAGATGGAGGGATATGAAATAAAACGTTGAGATGCGAGACTGAAAAGCAAACGGACAGAACGACAGAGAAAGATGGGGAAAAGAGACAACGTTGTTACGATGGAAACGTCTCCTCCAGTAGCGACGTAAGAGGGACAAGCTGTCGGTGGCTGACTCAGCAGTAGAGCGCGGTGATTGGTCGTTGCCCCGCGAGCGGAAGATGACCGCCAAATTGCCAATGAACCACGAAATACACCGAGTATGAGAGCTCAATTGAGGGCGGTGACGGAAATAATAATGACGGGTACAATGGGTAAACTCTGGAGGTATCTGAAGCTTAGAATAGCTAATACTGAGCTCTAACCATAGCCCTCACCCTCTAGGACAAATCCTGCTTCCCTCCATCAATTACATACCTACGGAGATACTCTTCAACTCCGCATCCACGCGACGCGCCGCAATATCGAGCTGAACAAAGGCAGCAGCACCCTTAGCAGCTATTGAGTGTCGGCCACCGTACATGTGTCGGTACGAGCTTCTTGGACGCGGACTTTTATACTGGCAGCGTAAAAGGTCCAGCGCAGACAAAGACAGCGCTTTAAGGTGGGTTGGTCTTGCAAGATAGTTTTAGCTCCTTTATAACGCACATATCTTAACGGTTCGTGTAGAGAGCTCCAAACAGAATGCTCCACGAAATCCTTCTCTCCCTCTCCGGCCAACCGTCACCACTTTTCCAAGCCCATGCCGAAGAAGACACGGTCTCTGAGGATGCGTTTCCTCTCCTGTCACCTCCGGAGAAAGCCCTCCTCGCCTCCCTTGCCCGTCTGAGTCGACTCCACGCTAAACTACGAGCTCATACAGCTCTGATCTCTTCCTCACATCCTTCTGTCATATGTCGAGCTGCCTCAACTGCAATTAGTACACGGCACCTGGGGAATTTTCAACGAAAGGTACTCGAAGTAGAAAAATCGATTTTGGTGGAAGATAGCGGGTATGTTGGTGGTTACGGGATTGTGCCGTTGTCAACGATAGTCGGCGAATTCTCCCCCTGGACCCGACGGCTCGAATGGCTATGGGAGGTTGCCCAATTTATTCTTCCTGTTCACAAGACAGCCAACAACCAGAGTTGCACGGGCGCAGCACTGATCGATTACCTTCGGGCGGAATCACAAACCGGATATATAGACATTGGGGAGATGGCGCTGCACCTAATCAGTGCGGCTGAAACTGCTTGGATGAGACAGCTGTCGACGTGGCTACTGTATGGGAACCTTCCCGTGCTAGGCAAGGATGACTTCTTCATTCAAGAGGATAGCATGGCCGAGGGCAATCGTGTCCCGGCCGTGGCAAACTTTGTTCTCCGAACAGACTTGCAACCAAAATTTGTCTCACCGGACACAGCCTCATCTATCCTATTTATTGGGAAAACATTGAACCTTATCAGGGCAAAGCGCAGTGGCTCTACAACAGGTTCTCCAACGGGTCTCTTAACTACACCCGTCACTCTACACGGAGAACATATCGAGCACTTTGCTGAACTGAAATCACCGATATCGACCGCCAAACTATCCAATAGTATAGACTCCATTCGGTTATCATTGTCGCAAAGCATGCTCTCTAAACTGCTACCACTCCCTAAGATCCTCGAGATTCTCGCTGTCCTCCATGACTTCTTGTTGCTGAGACGCGGCGAGTTTGCGTCGGCGCTTGTATCGCATGCCGATGCTCGTTTACTTGAAAGACATCGACGACCGGGAAATCTGGCTTCCAAAGGCAAACTTGCCGAGGGCCTCCAAGGGCTTTCCATCAAAGAGGGAGATGTTGCGAATGCTTTGTCACAAGCCTTAGCTGAGCTGTATTCTTTGCAAAATGAGGAAGACCCTGTAGATGATGAGCTTGATCTTGCGAGAAGCCTCCTGCAGCTATCAATGAATGATAAAAGGAAAAGCCACTCAGTCGCGGCGACGCCTTCAGCAGGTGGGCCTGACCATGTAGCGAACATCTCAGATATCCCTTTCGATGACCTCCTTTTCCCATCTCCAACAGCTCTCTCAGCACAAGTCCACCCACCCTTGGATTTATTTCTCTCGGCTTCTGACGTTTTAATTTATTCAAAGATTCACTCCTATCTTCTGGGTATACGACGTGCGCAACTACACTTGGGAGACCTTTGGAAACACACATTCCTGCGAAAAATTCACCCATCCCCATTGGGTCCGCCCAGGAGCAACTCGCAGTTTGGCCAGAGCAAGCTCAGAGCGGGGAGGCAAAGAGATAACACCCGAACACGTCAGATGAGACCTATCTGGGCTACGTGCAGTGCTTCCCTTTTTGTATTATCAGAAATAGGCAGCTTTTTTCAAGGGGAGGTTATCAATGGCTCTTGGCAACACTTCCGGGAGTGGGTTGGAGGTGCCCCAGCCTCGTCCACTAGCTCCCGACCTGGAACTTCGTCGTCGTCAAAGAGCAAACCCAGCTATAACAGCATGGTCTCTGAGGAAACGTCTGAAACTGGATTGGACCGATCCACTCAGTTGCCAAGGGCACAGCATGATCCTGAAACATTGACGGTCGCACATCGTCGATACCTATTCACCATGGTCCAGGCACTTTTCTTGACCGACAGACCATTCACCAAAGCCCTTCGGTTCCTACTTACCAGTGTTGACCATTTTATCGCACTTGTGGTCCGTCTCGAAAGCATTCAGCGCAACATGGACTTAGAGACAGACGAAGGTGTCGTGGACTCCTTAGTCGATTACGCTGGGGAGGAGAAGGAAGTATGGCAAGCACTCAGTGCAGCGCGAGGCGAAGTTGAGACGGGAATCAAGGTTCTTGTGGCACGGCTGAAAGACATTGACGACAGCCGGTCTGGAGAAGGACGAACAATGTTTGATATGTCAAAAAGCCCACGTGGAAACTGGTCAATGTACCAGCAGAATGGAACGGGTACTGAGGCCAACATGGGTCACTATGTGCCCAGAAAGGCGGCCGGAGTGGATCGACTGCTAATGAAGTTAGACTTCGGGAACGCAAATGGAAGCATTGGGCCTGCAGCGTTTGTATCAGGTGGATATGGCAACGCGGGATACTAGGATTTTCAGCTCCCAGGAAACGAGTTATGAGAACGGTCATGTAATAATTCTTAGCATGAACTTAGGAATCTACTATTGTCATGGGGCAACATGACTGCCTAACTCCCCCACCGCCCTCCGGAGGGACTACTAACCTACGGAGTAGGGTCCGGGGAAGTCATTGCCTACGCGGCCGCTAACATTTAAGAGGGCTTGGGGGCTAGGAACAACGCTAGCGTCACTAACGCCAGTGCTGAACTCTGCCACATAACCACTGCCTATGGCAGTCGATCATACCTCCCCTGTGAGAGAAGGGGTCTACTAATGGGACTTGTAATCCCTCAAAGAAACAAAGAGAGATGAGAATGCAACTCTCTATTGACACAGTTCAAGTCTCCTAGCCATTCCTTGCGTTAGGCCCTAATAGTATTTGTTGACGTTAACCTTCACTGAGCCTACCTAGTAGGTTTGGACTAGGCGGGATTTGGTTTAGCCCCTGCAGACTTGACACCTGCCGGATCCGATCAAAAAGCTTCATGTTTATTTTACTTCTTTCGTCTCTGCAAGCCATTGAGGCTCAACTCAGGGATGGGACTCAAACATCTTACCGTTGTACCTTTCTAAAGTCAGTTTACTTTCTCTCATCAAGACTAACCAAGCTTGTCCATTTGGCCGGATGAAGGTGTGACTATACAACATATTATCTCTGAAACCTGGGGCGAAGTCGGAGCAGCTAAGGAGCAGCACTTTGGTTCAAAAGATATGAAAGATTCCCTGGACCTTTAAAAGGAGCGTTGTGAAACTTGGAGTTCTACCGCATAGGCCAATTACCAGTAAACCCATCGGCCTTGGACAGTGTCAGCGGTCAAAAACGCACCCACTGTCAAATGATCAACATCCAATCTCTTGTGGAAATCTCCTCAAGGCATACCGTCCTACATGCAGATTATTATACGGCGTTAGGTGAGCACTAGGGAAAAAATCTGAAGGCACACATGATTCAGAGTTCCTTTAACGGAATACCCAAATAGGTAACCGAGAAGATTGGGCCCTAGCTTCAGCCACAAGGGGAGAGCTTAATTCGTCGGGATCTCAACAGCCAGTGTCTATTTTAATTTCATGCTTATTCTCCGACCGACTAGGCGATGATCTACCTTTTTTTTTCTGTATATGCATTTTTATGCTTGGCTACTGTGCCCCGCTTGACCATGAATGGTTGAAGTGCTGATGAGGCCCCTAAATTGGTGTAAGGGGGATTATTGCCCGGCCGGGGAGACAGACGAGATACCAAGAGGTTGGATATGCCTAACAGGCAGGTTACTCGAAGAATCTTGGGTTCCTGTGGATGGAATGCTACGATGGAAAAGATTATCTACCTCTGCTATCGGCTCAAGCATGGTTGTCTTAGACTGTCATTTTTCATGTGCTAAGCAGCAAAGGTACTACTATCGTGGGTCCTTCCTTCCATAGCGAGTCAGCAAGAGGGACCCAAAAAAAAAAAAAAAAA